ATGAGGGGGGGGAGGAGGACGCGCGCGGCGCACCAGGATGGCCTCCATCGCGCCCGTCGCGCGGAGCGTTGTGTCGATGACGGCAGTCTAGGTTCGTTCAAACAGAAACGCAGACCAGAGAGCGCGCTGATGACGACGGATGCGGATGGGACCTCATCTCGATCACTCCACGTCGGCGCCGCGCCGCGATGGCCGCGGGCGGCTTGCACCGCGCGGCGACGTCGAACCACTGGCTTCGCAGCGGCGTCCCGTTCGTGACGTTCATGCTCGCCGGGTCCTACGGCATCAGCGTCGTGCTGCAGGGGAGGAACGACGTGCGCGACGCGAGGGCGGACGTCACGGACATGCGCGCGCCGTCGAGGACGCAGACGGCGCGGCGTCGCAATCGCGCGTTCGATCTCGACGACGAGCGCGAGCGGACGATGGACGCGCTGGGGGTGAGGGACGGCGCGCGCGACGTGAAGATGGTGCCCGTGCCGAGGCCGTGGCAGGAGCCGGGGGCGAACGGACGGCGGTGGTGGGGGGGTGTGAGGCGATGGCTGAAACGCGGGGAGTAGGACGAGCGGAAGACGGGCGCGACCGCGACGTGCGAGCGGGGCCTTCGGCGCGACGTCGCGCGCGCGACGCGACGCGACGCGGCGACGGTCCCCCGGGGGACGATAGACACGTAGCGATAGAGCTTCCTTCGAACGACGGCGCGGCTAGCGCGCGTTCGGGGTCGATCCGTGCCTCCGCGCCCCGCCCCTCCCTCGTAGTCCGCGTCGAGCTGCTGGTAGCTGGTTGACCCAGCCGTGACCTGACCTGCGCCACCTCGACCTCGTCACCTCGTCCGCCAAAATTCATTCACGCGCGCGCCCCCCCCCCGCGGACGCCGCGCCGCGCGCGATGGAAGAACCCGCGTCCTCCGCGCGCGCGTCGGAGACGCCCGCGACCGTCGCGGATCTCGCGGCGCTCGCCGCCGCCGCCGACGGCGTCGCGGACGCGCGCGCGGACGCGGACGCGAACGCCCGCGACGACGACGACGACGCGCCAGCGGTCGTGGCTGGCGAATTCGGGGAATTCATGGCCGCGCTCGCGAGCGCGGTCGTGTCCGGCTACGACGAAGACGACTCCGCGGACGACGACGCCGCCATTCCCGCCGCCGTCCGAGACGACGCGGCCGCGCGCGGGACCGGGTCGCCGACGAGCACGCCGCCGACGTCGCCGCCGCGGATGCGCCAGACGACGCTCGACGAGCACGAGCGGTTCTTCTTCTCCGAGCGCGCTCCTCATCATCACGATCGTCGGACGTCGCCCTCCTCGCGGCGTCCGCGCGGCGGCGCGTCCGCGTCCGCGCCGACGTCGCCCTCGCCGCGCGGAGGAGGAGCGCGCGGACGCGGACGCGGGCGTAGGCGCGGCGCGCTCGACGGCGTCGCGCGCTTCCTCGTCGGCGTCGTCGTCGGCGCGCTCCTGGCGGTCTTCATCGCGTCGACGGCGTCGCCGTCGACGTTGACGCGCGGGTCGCCGCTGTTCGACTCGGCGCGCGCGCGTTCGCGCGCGTCGGCGTCCGCCGCCGACGTGGAGAAGACCGGAACCGCACCCGGTCGCTTCGGCGGCGACTGGCGCGACGGCTCGGAGTTTCGGGGGTTCGAGCCGCTCGGGTGGAAGACGCCACAGCTGGCGGCGGCGCGCGACGGGTCGATAACCCTCTCGAAAGATTCGAAGCACGCCGACGCCGACGCGTCAGACGCGACGGCCGGCGCGAGCGGTCGGGATCGCACCTGGACGTGGAAACAAACCCTAAACCCGAAGCGCGCGCGCGCGCTGACGTGGGGCGTCTCCGCGGGCGTCTGCGTGACGCTCCTGGCGTACTGCGTTGGTTTGTTTTCCGTCGAAGGGGGTCGCGTCGGCGTCGTCGGCGTCGTCGTCGCGGCGATCGCCGCCGTCGCCGTCGCCGCGGCCATCGCGGCGGGCGGCGGGGGCGCTCCAGGGACTGGCGGGATCGGCGCCGCTCCCACCGACGCGGGCCCGGGCCTCCTCCTCTCCGCGAGCTACACGCACCGCGGGCACGCGTCGGATTCGTCCGCGCCCGCGTGGGTCTCCGACGCGCGCGTGGCGACGTGGGGTTGCCGAGAGACGACGAGGTGGTTGCGCGGCGAGTTCGAGGGTTCCGAGTCGTCGTGGGCGGCGGAGTACGGTGAGGCGCTGTGCGGGAAGGGCGTCACCGGGCTCGCGTTCGCGGCGATGGACGAGAGCGACCTGCGGGCGACGTTGGGCGTGAAGCATCGCGGGCACAGGAGGAAGATGCTCGCGGCGGCGTGGCGATTAAAAGACAAGGCGGGGAGAGAAGAGGAGGAGGCTGAGAAGAGGAGGAAGAGGAGGAGGAAGACGGGCGAAGTTCGAGGGCAACGAGCGAACGGCGAAGAGAAGTCTGAGAAGTCTTCGGCGAAGAAGAAGTCCTCCGCCGAAGACGCGAAGACGTCCGCGGCGCGACGCGGCGGCGGCGTCGACCCTTCGTTGGCGTCTTGGAAGGCGGCGGCGCCCGCGTCTCGCGCGGCGCAAATCATGGGCGTGACGAACTGCCCTCGGCTGCGGATGCTGCGCGACGTCACCGTCGGCGACGGCTCGCTCGCGAACCTCGCGGGGTTGTACTCGCGTCCGCCGCGGACTCGCGACGACGACGACGACGACGCCAACATCGCGGGGTCCGACGATCCGAGTGCCAGTCCGAGGTGAGACCGCTTCCCATACGACCGCGTTCGCGTGGTGAACGCCGTTCCTTAAGGACTTTTCCCGTCGTCACTCTTCACCCGCGCTTCCCTTTCAACGTTTGACCGGTAAGACGTTCGACTGACCGATCGCTTCACCCACGCAGCCCCAGTCCGAGTCCGTCGCCGCGTCTGAACCTTCCGCTCCTCGGCTTGTGGTTCCTCTGCCCCGGCTTCATCGTCGCGCTGCGCGCGCACGAGCTCTGGGGCCTCTCGTCCTTCCCCGGCGTCTTCGGCGCCGTCTTAGGGTTCGCTCTCGTCGCCATGTTCGCGCAGGGTAACCTGGACATCGCGCGGCGGTGGGAGCGAGGCACGCACTTGGAGACGCGGTGGGCGAGAAATCGCGTCGGCGTCGCGGGCGCGCGGCTGCGCGCGATCGCGATGGCGCGCAACGCCGCCGTCCTCGCGACGACGCGGACCATCTACCCCGGGCTCGCGCGCGCGCTCATGCTGGAGGCGCTGACGCTCGCGACGTTTTCGGCGCCGAAAGTCGTCGGGGTGCGTTCTATCTCGCACTGGTCCCCATACGACCGCGTTCGCGTGGTGAACGCCGATCCTTAAGGATTTCGCCCGGCGCACCTCTCCGCCCACCCCTCGCTTTCAATACCCGCCCTCAACGCCTTTCAACTCCAACTGACGCCTTTCAACTCCACCCCGACGTCGCTTTGAACGATGGAACGACCCCCAGAGCGTCGCTTACGCGATTGGCGCGGTCGCGCTGCCGACGTTTCGCGTGGGGTACAGGGTGTGGTACGTCACCGGGCGCGGCGGGTTCGGGGAGAGCCCGGCGGCGTGGCGGCGCGCGGCGGCGCGGAGAAGGGAGGAGGAGCAAGCGGCGGCGGTGACGGCGGCGAACAGGGCGACCGCGATTGAACAAAGCCAAGCAATGCGACGGCTCGAGCGCGCCAACTCGTGGGGCGAGGAAGGCCGCGGTAACGCTTCCTCGAATCCAGGCGTTTCATCAAACCCCGCGGACGCGATCGAGGCGGCGATCGACGACCTGTTCTCAAACGAGGAGATGGACGACGTCGCGCGCCAACGGCACCGCGCGCGCGCGCGCGCCGTCGCCGACGCCGCCGCAGCCGTCGGCCGCGTCCGCGGCACCGAGCTCGGCGGCGGCGAAGCGGCGCTTCCTCGCGGAAGAGCCTCGGAAGCGCCGCCCCACGACATCGCGTCTCGCCGCGATCGGTCTTTGCCGGGCACGTCGTCGTCCACGTCGTCGTCGTCGTCCTCCTCCTCGCGGTCGCACTGGCCGGGCCCGGTGGTACTCCCGGAATGGCTCAACGACGAGCGCGCGCCGTCGCACTTCCGGTGCCCGATCACGCTGTGCGTGATTCGAGAGCCCGCGGTGACTCCCGCGGGCATCACGTACGAGCGCGCCGCGTTGATGCGCTGGCTCGAGCACCAACACACGGAGCCGAGCACGAAACAGCGCCTGAAGCGGTCGCACGTGGTGCCGAACCTGACGCTGCGCGCGATGATCGAGGACTGGCTGCAGGAGCAGAAGCGCGAGCGGAGACGCGCGGCGAATCGCGCGGCGGCGTCTATCGCGGCGGCGGGCGGCGACGCGGCCGCGGCCGCCGCCGCGTCCGCGTCGGTCGACGCGCCGTCTTCGGGGCCCTCTTCGCCGTCGACGTCGTCGCCGTCGACGGCGCTGCCCCCCGGCGCGACGGGGGTGTTACAGGCGGACAGGGACCGGCTGCGCGCGGCTCGGCTGCGGATGTACGCCGCGCTGAAGGAGCGCGCGGCGGCTAACGTCAGCGCGGAGGAGCAGCGGTTCGCGCACTGGGCGGCAACGAACGCGACTTCGAACGCTTTCGCTCACGCCGCCGCCGCGTCTATAAGAACTTCATCGGGCGGCGGCGGCGCGGAGGCGGCGGACGAGGCGGAGCTTGAGACTCCCGCGACGGTGGCGACGGCCGAGCGCGGCGGCGAGGAGATCGTCCCCGTCGCGGACGATGGCGAGGGCGAGGGCGAGGGCGCGCGCTCGCGCGGCGGCGACGGCGACGACGACGGCGCGACGCGCGAGGACGATTCGTTCTCCGCGGCGCCCGTCGCGGCGGAGAGCGTCGCGGAGATCACCGCCGCGTTCTTAGAGCACGACGCGCACCCGTCCACGGCGTCGGCCTCCGCCGTCGTCAGCCTCATTGCGAGGTCCGACCCGCGCGCGTTCGCCGCCGCCGTGAACGCGGTCGTGCTGCCGCCAGGTCACCCCCGCGACCCCGCCGCCCTTCTCCCCGCCGTCTCTCAGCGCGTCCGGCAGGATCAACCCGAGGCACGAGTACTTCGCCATCGCCCACTGCCGCCGGTCGACGCGGCGGCGGCGGCGGCGGAGGAGGATGAGGAGGAGGGAGACGCGTCCTCGCTCGTCGCGTCGTGACGCGACGCGCGCGCGAGACGTCGTCGTCGCGACGGCGGTGCCGCGGTGTGCGTAATTATTCTTTTTACAAAGCCAAAACAACCTCCGTGGCGAACCGAACCAAACCTCTTCGTCTCGACGTTCGCGGTCGTCCAAACTCCGCGCGTTCGCGCGCGCGCTCGAACGTCCGTCCGTCCGTCGCGCGGCTGCCGAGTTCTATGAGCATTTAGTCTCACAGCCCCTTGCGGTCCGTCTTGCCCATCAGCGGCGTGGGATCTCGCCCCCCGATCTCCCCCGTCGCGCCCTTCCACCCCCCCCCCGCGTCCTCCCGCCCCAGCGACAACCCCCAGTCGCTCTGCGTCTCGAGCTTGATATCCCCGACCGGGTACGCCATGCAAATCAGCGCCATCCCCTCCGCTTGCTCCTCCTCGTCGAGCGTGAACTCCAGGTCCGCGATGTCTCGGTGATCGACGGACCCCTCGACGCACTTCGCGACGCACGCGCCGCAGATGCCTCCTCGGCACGTGAACGGCAGCTCCAGCCCCGCGTCGATCCCGGCGTCCAGGATGTACTGGTCCTCCGGGCAGTCCACGGTGACTTCCTGCCCCCCCGCGCCCACGAAGGTGACCTTCACGGGCTTCCCCACGCCCGGGCCGATCTTCCGCTTGTCGAGGTCGATCACGTTTCTCGAGAGCTTGTCCGATTCCGAGCCCGCGCGGACGGCGACGACGGCGCGACGCGCGACGCGGCCGCCGCGAATGCGCGCGCAGCGCGCCAGCGCGGAGGAGGAGGAGGAGGAGGAGGACGCGCGCGGCGGCGGCGGCGCGGACGTTCTCGCTGATGCGGTCATCATGGTGGACGGCGTCGTGCGGAGCGGCGCCGCGGACGAAGTGCGAGCGAGCGACCGGATAGCGCGAGGGAGATCGAGATCTTCGCGTTGAAATCACTACTTCTGCTTCTCTTCTCGAAATGGCCGACCGACCGCGACTCGGACGGCGGCGAGCGAACGTCGAACCACGAACTCATCATCATCCATCATCAAGGGTCGCGCCATCGTCCCCTCCTCCTCCTCCTCCTCCTCCTCCTCGTCCGTCGTCCGCGCCTTCCCGTCTTCTCGACGCGCGATCACGAACGATACGATGGTCGGCCCGAACACCACGGACCTCTCCTACGCCGCGATGGAGTGGGAGTGGCAGCGCGCGGTGTGCCGCCCGCTCTCCGGTCCGCTCGGCGTGCCCCCGGGCACGGTGCTCTTCACGCTCGCGCTGTTCGCGTCTCTGCCCATCGGCGCGGGGTTCCGTTTCATCGAGTCGCCCGTGTTGAAGAACCTCTACGGCCTCCTCGCCGGGACGTTCCTGAGCGTCTTCGCGTTCGGGAGCGCGACGGCCAGCGTCTTCGTGTTCGGCGCGGCGTCGTACGCCGCCATGGCGGCGCATCGGAAGCGATGCGGCGGTGCGTTCTCCTCACACTGGTCCCCATACGACCCCGTCGGCGTGGTGAACGCCGATCCTTAAGGACTTTTCTTCCCGGCGTGTCTCTCCTCCCACCCCTCGCTTTCGATCCCGACACACCTCGACGCCTTTCGACTCCACCCCTGACGCCTTTCAACTCCACCCCGACACCGCTTTGAATGATGGAACGACCCTCAGCGATCGTCGGCGTCGGCGCGTTCGCGTACCTCATCTACTTCCACGCGACGTCGTCGAGCGGCGAGGCGTGGAAGGCTGGGAACATCGACATCACCGGTCTGCTCATGGTGCTGACGCTGAAGGTGACCGCGTGCGCGCTCAACTACCAGGACGCGGCGGCGCCGCTCGATCGCCTCTCAGGTGCGTTCTCATTACACTGGTTCCCATACGACCCCGTCGGCGTGGTGAACGCCGATCCTTAAGGACTTTTCCCGGCGCATCTCTCCGCCCAGGGTCCCTCGCTTTCAATACCCGCCCTCGGCACCTTTCAACGCCAGCTGACGCCTTTCAACTCCACCCCGATATCATCGCTCGTATGGACCCTCGACCCTCAGACTTTCAAAAGCGTCGCGCGGTGACGACGCTGCCGAATCCGTTGGACTACGCCGCGTGGCTGGTCTTCCCGTGCACGCTCGTCGTCGGGCCGGCGTTGGAGTTTCGGGACTACTCGGACTGGCTCAGAGGGAAGGGGGTGTGGGATAAGAACCACCGTAACGGCGGGTGCCCGAGCGTTTTCGTACAGGCGATGAAGACGGCGGCGTACGCGACGTTTTTCATGACTATCCACCTATACGTCGCGACAATCTACACGATCGACGACACGTACTTATCGCCGGATTGGAACTCGAAGCCGCTGTGGCTGAAGTTCTGGGAGCTCCACATCCTCGGCCAAGGCAGCCGAGGGAAGTATTTCTTCTGCTGGGTCTGGGCGGAGGCGGCGTGCGTCGCGTCCGGGATCGGATTCAGCGGGCACGAGGAGAAGAAAGGCGCGTCCTCCTCGTTTATTTACGCTGACTGGTCCCCATACGACCCCGTTCGCGTTGTGCGCGCCGTTCCTTAAGAAGAAGGACTTTTCTTCCCGGCGTTCGTTTCTCTCCGCCCACCTCTCGATGGCTTCAATCCCGACGCGCCGCGACGCCTTTGTACGTACTCCATCTGACGCACCTCTGAACTCCACCCCGACGTTCGTCGCTTCGCGCTATGGACCGTCGACCCTTTCAGTCGTGGATAAGAAGAGCGGAGAGGTGGCGACGACGCGCGTCGCGACGTGGGAGACGGGGAAGAACGTCCGTCCGATGGGCGTCGAGACCGCGGCGACGTTCGTGCAGATTCCTCATCACTGGAACATACAGACCGGGAAGTGGCTCAGGCATTACGTGTACGATCGGTCGACGCCCGCGGGGAAAAAGCCGGGGTTCCGGCAGTTGCTTCTCACGCAGACGGTCTCGGGGGTGTGGCACGGGTTATACGCCGGGTACTGGTGCGTCCACGTCCACGTCATCGTATCCTTGTCCACGTCATCTCATCGCATCATCGTATCTTCCAATCACACACCGCCACATAAGCACGCACGCACGCACGACGTCCATCACGTCGACACGGCCGACCAATCACCGACCGCGTCCGTCCCCTCCCCCCCCGACAGGCTGTTCTTCGTCTCGAGCGCGGTGTTCATCGAGGGCTCCAAGTCCGTGTACCGGTGGCAGAGCAAGCACTGGCTCTTCAGCCGAGCCCCGGCGTCGTGGCTGATCTCTCTCCCGCACTGGCTCCTCGCGACCGTGGGATTAAACTACCTCTGCGGCGCGTTCATGCTCGTGACGTTTCGGCAGTGCGTCGACGCGTGGGCGTCGGTGTACTTTTTGCCGCATCTCATCATCGTCGCGATGGTGATCTTCGGGCGGGTCGTGAACCCGAAGAAGAAGCGCGACCGCGGCGACGCGAGCGCGAAGGCGAACGCGAGCGGCACGGTGGGCGTGGGGGCGGAGGAGAAGAAGAAGGCGAACTAGCGCGTCGCGAGGCTCGTTCATTAGAGGCGGGAGGGAGGCCGCCTCTCGGACGACGGACGGACATCAATCATTCTTTTTAAACACTCTGTCATCACGCGGCATCATCGACACAGCTGTACTTTTTCGCGCGTCCTCGTCAGCGAGATCGATCAGTCGACGCGCGCGTCCCCCCCGCGACCAACCCCCGCGTCGCGTCGCGTCGCGTCGCCCGCCGCGATGTCCGCAGCCGCGGCGGCGCGGACGCCCGTCATCGTCCTCCCCGGCAGCGGATGCACGCCGACGAGGGAGTGCAACTTCTACGCGTGGTTCAGCGACGCGCTCGACGCGACGCGCTACGACGCGCGGACGACGAACATGCCGGACCCGCACGTGTGCAGGGAGAGGGCGTGGCTGCCGTTCATCGTGGATCCGAGCGGGCCGCTGCGCGCGGGGCCGGGGTGCGTCGTCGTCGGGCACAGCAGCGGCGCGGTCGCCGCGATGCGGCTCGCGGAGAGGACGAAGCTCAAGGCGCGCGCCGCGCGTGATTTGCGCTCCCGAAACATCATTCATTCGTGTTCGTTCGTCCGCCCGACGCCCCCGCCATCCTATCTATCTCTCCCGCGCAGGGTATCATCCTCATCGCGAGCTACGACTCGGACTTGGGCGACGCGAACGAGCGCGCGAGCGGGTACTTCGATCGCGCGTTCGACTACGACGCGATGCGACGAAACTGCGACTTCGTCGCCGCCGTCGGCGGCGCGCGCGACGCGCTCGTGGACATCGACATTCAGGCACGCATTCTTCTGCGTCATCACACTGACTGGTCCCCATACGACCCCGTTCGCGTTATGCTCGCCTTTCCTTGAGGACTTTACCTCCCGTCGTTCGTTTCCCCGCCCGCGACGCCTTTCGACTCCGCCCGACGCCCTCGAACGCCGCCCCTCACGCGATGACCCTCACTCATCAGAGACGCGTCGCGCGCGAGTGCTTGGGGTTGAGCGCGGGGACCGCGGGCGCGGAGTGGCTGGAACTCGAGGCGCGCGACCACTTCTTCACGCCGCCGTTCCGCGAGCTCGTGGAGCTGTTGGACCGGAGCTGCGACGCCGCGGACGCGGCGGCGGCTGCGGGCGCGGGGACGACGACGGATGAGGGGTGATGATGAGTGAGAAAACCAGAGAAAACCTAATTAGGGTAAGCGACGGAGCTACTACGTGTAGGGTTTAATCCCTCGATGCACGCCCGACCGATCGGATTCGAGATCGAGCGCTCTGCGCCGTCGAGACCGAGAAGATTCCTCGCGCGCCGTCTTCTCGACCTTTCGACGGTCGCGGCGTCGCACACGCGCGCGCGCGACCGAGCCTCTCGCGGACGCGCTCGCGGCGACTCCGACTCCGCGCACGCTCGCGCTCGCTCGCACGGAGACGCGCGCGGCGGACGAAGCGAAGCGAAGCATCGCGCGCCGCCCTCGGTCCCGTCCGCACGCGGCGCGTCGACGGACGCGGCGAGGATAAAAAGCACGCGCATCGCCGGGCGCGTCGCCGGACGATAGATCGATCCTGAACGCGCGACGAAGCGAAGCGCCCCGCCGCCGCCGCCGTCCGTCCGTCCGTCGCGATGAAACACTTAGACCACACGACGTACGCCAAGCGCGAGGAGACCGCGCTCGAGCACGCGGTCGAGGAGCACTGGGACGAGGGCTGTACCCTCCTCAAGCACCTCCCAAAGGCGAAAGGCCAATCAGATGCGTTCTTTCCGTTGCTCGACGACGCCGTCTTCGTCGGACACATCATGACCGACCTCGACAGCATCGCGGGCGCGATCGGCGCGGCGGAGCTGTACGGCGGCGTCCCCGCGCGCGCGAGCGAGATCAACACGGAGACGCAGTTCGCGCTCGAGCACTGGGGCGTAGATTTGCCGCCGCCCGTGGAGGACCTGCTCGCGGAGAGGTGTGTTCTCGTCCCAAACGTTCGTTTTTCACCCGTCCATCGGTTTCAATATTTGATCGCGTCCCCTTTCAACTGACCGATGAACTATTTTTGTATGGAAAAACGACCCTCACAGGCCCGACCGAAACGTGTGCCTCGTCGATTTCCAGCAGCAGTCGCAGCTGAATCCGGCGATCCCGATGGCGAACATCGTGGGCGTGATCGACCACCACGCGCTGCAGAGCAACACGATCGTCACGGAGAAGCCGATATTCGTGGACATCCGACCGTGGGGGTGCATGTCTTCCATCGTCGCGCACACCTACGCGGTGAACGAAAAGTTTTTACCCAAGCCCATCGCGGGGATGCTGCTCAGGCGCGTCCCATCTCACACTGGTCCCCATACGACCGCGTCGGCGTGGTGAACGCCGATCCTTAAGGACTTTACTTCCCGGCGCGTTTCTCCGCCCAGGGTCCCTCGCTTTCAATCTCCGACCCTATGACGCCTTTCAACTCCACCCCTGACGCCTATGAACTCCACCCCGATATCATCGCTTCGTATGGACCCTCGACCCTCATCAGCGCGATCCTGTCCGACACCCTGAACCTTCGATCGCCGACGACGACGGCGTGGGACGAGCGCGTCGTCGCGATGCTCGTGCAGTATCTCAACGTCACGGACGTCAACGAGCTCGCGGCGAAGCAGTTCCGCGCCAAGTCGCACTCGCTGTCTCTCATGACGCCGTACGCTCTGGTCAACGGCGACGTCAAGCAGTTCAAGGCGCGTCCCATACACTGGCCCCCATACGACCGCGTTCGCGTGGTGAACGCCGTTTCTTAAGGACTTTGCCCGGCGCATCTCTCCGCTCATCCCTCGGTTTCAATCCCGACACACCACGACGCCTTTCAACTCCTGCTGACGCCTATGAACTCCACCCCGACGTTCGCTCGTATGGACAATTACCCTCAGTTTTCCTCACCCGACGGCGCGACGCACTCCGTCGCGTACGCGGTCGTGGAGACCACGGACGCGGAGGCGTCGCTCGCGCGCGCGGACGAGATCATCCCGGAGATGCGCGCGTTCAAGCTCGCGAACGCCACGGTCGACGCGTGCCTCCTCGCCGTCGTCGACATCGTGAATTTGACGTCGACGCTTCTCGTCTGCGGACGGATCGAGGCGCGTCGTAGTATCACACTGGTCCCCATACGACCGCGTTCGCGTTGTGAACGCCGATCCTTAAGGACTTTACTTCCCCGGCGTATGTTTCTCTCCGCCCGCGCACCCCTCGACGCCTTTCGATCCCGACGCGCCTCGACGCCTTTTTTCGACTTTTCCACCCCTGACGTCTTTCGACTCCGCCCCGACGTTCGTTCGTCGCTTTGAACGACTCCCCACGACCCCGCTACCGCTCAGGCGTCGCTCTCCGTCGCCGCGTACGGCGGCGCGCTGACGCACGACGGCACACGGCTCGCGCTTCCCGGGCTGGTGTCGCGGAAGAAGGACTTCGTGCCCGCGCTGACGAAGGCGGTGACCGCGGGGTGGAACCCGCCCGCGGACGTCGTGCGAGAGCACAGCGCGGAACGGCCCTCGGCGGAGGACGACGACGGCGGAGAGGAGAGGAGCACGACCAAGACCCCGGCGCAAGAGGGGGAGGTGACGAAGAGCGCGATGAAGCGCGCGAGGAGCATGGTGGACATCGCCCGCGGGGACGTGGTCGTGGATTACAGCGATGAGCCGTCGGGGAAGCTGGTGCGGAGGCCGACGCCGGAGCCGGCGAGCGGCGGCGGCGCGGGCGCGTGATGAGGGCCGTTCTATACGAGCGAACGTCGGGGTGGAGTTGAAAGGCGTCAGAAGCGGAGTTGAAAGGCGCCGAGGGTGGGTATTGTGAGCGAGGTCCTTAAGGATCGGCGTTCACAACGCCGACGCGGTCGTATGGGGACCAGTGTGAGATAGGACGCGCCTGAGCGCGAGGGATCGCGCCGGGAACGCCGGGAACGACGTGGGGGAGCGCGGACGCGCGATGGCGAACGGCGGGACGAGACGGACGGCGAAGACGAGACGCGGGGAGGCTTGGCGCGCGCGCGGGCGGCGAAACGGTCGCCGAGACGCCGCGGTCGCCCCGGGAGCGATCGGAGCGAGCGAGAAGGGGTGTTCAACACGACGACTCTACTAAACCATTTACGACCACCGCCAGGCGACGATCGCGATCTCGACTCCTGTCCATCCCCGCGGTGACGAACCTAAACCCTCAGCGCGGCGCGGCATCTCGCGCGCGTCACACGCCTCGCGCGCGCGCCCACCGCGCGCTCTCCCCCCCCGCGCGCGGTCGGTTCCCCCGCGACGGCAGCGCGCGGAGACGCGCGCGACCGCCGCCGCCGCCCCGACCGACCGCCGACGATGGAGACGATCTGGAGCGCGGCCGCGCCCGCGAGGGTCCTCGTCGGCGGGAATGGCATCGCCGCGAGACGAGATCCTTCTCGCTCGGCGCGCGACGACGTCGACGCCGCGGACGCCGCCGCGACGGCGAACGACGGGGGCGAACGCGACGACGTCGTCGGCGCATTTTTGCCGCCTCGAGCGCGCGTCGGACGCATCGACGCGTGGAGGGATCAGGGCTTCGCCTCCGCGCGCGACATGCGCGACGCGCTCAAGACAGACCTCGGCCGGCACAACGCGCGACGCCGCGCGAAGGGCAAGGCGGCGGTCACCGAGGAAGAGTTCCAGCGCGCGCTCGAGGGGGGCGGCGACGACGCGGACGACGTGAGCAGCATCTCCGGCAGCGACGACGACGACTCGGACGACGACGACGAAGAGCACGACGACGACGGCGACGGCGACGGCGGGACGGGCCGGCGTTTCACAGCCATCCGCGGCGCCGCGGAGGGCGCGCAAGTCGTGTGCGACCCTGGCGCGGAAGGAGGGACGCCTCCGTACGCGGTGTGGCGCGCGCTGCTCGCGCCGGACGAGCGCGGGACGCGCGCGGCGGCGGCGGAAGCGAGCGCCGCGTTCGACGCCGCCGCGGCGTTGCGGACGCTGAGAGATCTTCGCGGAGTAGGCGTCGAAGATGCGACGAATCATGATCCGAATCCGAATCAGGCGAAGAAACCGAAACCCTGGGCGGTCATCTTGAGCCGCGGCGGGCACTTCGCGGCGTCGATATTCGACCCGACGAAGTTCGTCGCGCCGAAAGGTTCGGGCGGCGCGGGCGGCGCGGGGGGCGCGCGGAATGCCGCTATAATAAGAGAGCACGAGCGCGAGAGCGCGTTCCTGCGCGCGGTTCCTCCGCCTTCGGCGACGATTCACAAGACGTTCCATCGCTACGTCGTGGTGCGTCGCGTCTTACACTGGTTCCCATACGACCGCGTTCGCGTGGTGAACGCCGATCCTGAAGGACTTTTCTTCCCGGCGTCTCTCTCCGCCCAGGGTCCCTCGCTTTCAATCCCCGCCGTCGACGCCTTTCGACTCCATCCGACGCCTTTCAACTACACCCCGACAGCGCGCGAAAGCCGGCGGGCGGCAGTCGACGAAGGACGCGGGCGGCGGGAAGACGATCAAGAGCGCGGGGAGCTCGATCCGACGCGCGAACGAGCGCGCGCTCAGAGCGGAGATCGTCGAGACGCTGACGGGGTGGCGCGACGAGCTCGGCGCGTGCGCGTTGATTTTCGTCGCCGCGTCGCCCGCGGACGCGCGGACGCTGTTTGATTCGCGGGGCCCGAAGGACGGACGGACGGCGTTATGTACGGCGGCGCTCGATAAGAGCGATCGAAGGATTCGACGCGTGCCGTTCGCGACGCGGCGGCCGACGTTCAACGAGACGCGGAGGGTCGTCGCGCGGTTGGCGGCGGTGAACTACAAAGTGGAGGTCGCGGAGGAGGAGGAGGAAAAGGAGGAGAGGGAGAGAGAGACGGAGGAAGACGAGGACGGCGCGACGAGCGACCGCGATTATCGCGATCGCGCGGGGTTGTCCGAGCGCGCGGCGGAGAGGTTTTGGGAGGTCAACGCGCGCGCGGCGGCGGCGGCGGCGCTCGGCGGCTTGGGTCTCGACGGCGGCGACGGCGACGGCGACGGCGGCGAGCCGGTCGACGCGCCCGGGACCGCGAGGCCTCAGCCTCTGTCGAAGAAGGAGAAGGAGAAACTGAAGAAGCAGCGCGCGAAGGAGCGGAAGAAGGCGGCGAAGGCGGCGGCCGCGGACGACGCGGCGCAAGGGGAGGAGCCCGAAGAAGCTCCCGCGGCGGCGGCGGCGGGTCAAAAAGCGAAAGCCCCCGCGGGCGGTCGCGCCGCCGCGCTTCTGGCGAAGACGAAGCAGAAGGAGACCGACCGACGCGACGAGATGGTGAGGCCCGCTCCCGTCCCCCATCATTTCCTTTCCTTTCCCCCTCGCGACTTTTCGACCGGAGAGAGACTTACTCGAAGACTCGACGCGTCTTTTTAACTGAGCCGTCCGCCCGCGTCGCCCAGGCCCTCGCTGCAGAACGACGCGAGGCGTGCTTGCGAGCGGCGACGCGACGGGGCGCGGCCGTCGCCAACGCGACGACCGGCGCGACCGCGGGAGGGATCTTCACGTCGGGGGCGGGGTCCGCTGGCGGAGGGCGTTCGATCGCTGGCGGCGCGAGCGCTTCGAGCGTCGATAATACATCTTGACGCGGCGAGAGCGCACGCGCCGCGCGTCGCGCTCGCGATCGCCGCCGCGGCCGTCGTTCGCGGCGGGCGGCGGCGCGCGGCGCGATCGGGCGCGGCGACCACGAAGGGGAAGACGCGCGCGTGGAAACCGAGACATCTCAAGTAAGTGAACAGTCAGTCAGTCATCAGTAGAACACACACGTAGGCGCCAACGATAGAGCTAGCTAGTACTTTCAACAACAGATTGCAACAGACAGAAAACTCCCTTCGCTCCGCTCGCGGAAAACAAATCACGGGAAACTCCCATCGCGTGAGGCGCCTCACGCCGCGGCCGCCTTCGCGCCGCCCGCGGAGCTCGCCAAGATCTTCTCCAGCGTCCCCTCCAGCGTCTTGATCGTGTTGTCCTTGTTGCAAATCTTATCCAACCCGAACAGACCGATCCGGAACGTAAAGTTCCCCGGCGGCTCGTTGATCATAAACGGCACCCCCGCGGCGATCTGGAACCCTTCCTTCTTGAACTTGTTGAACATGTCCGGCTCCGGGGTGTACCACACCGACACCCCGGGGGCTTCGTAACCGTCCGCGGAGACGGTCTTGAGACCCTTGGACTTCATCATGTCGCGGCACTCGTCGCCGAGGTCCCACGCCATCCTCTTCGTCTTCGCGAAGCCAATCTCCTTCGTCTCGAGCGCGGCGTCGCGGAACAACCCCAGCGCGTCCGTGGGCATCGTCGTGTAGTACGCGAACCCGCCGTTGGTGTACGAGTCCATGATCTCCAGCCACTTCCGCATGTTGATCACCATCGACGTCGACGTCGTGTTGCGCGTCGCGTGTTCACCGCGTTCGCTGAGCATCATGAGCGAGGAGCACGCGGGTCCCGTCCATCCCTTCTGCGGCGCCGAGAGAATCGCGTCGACGCCGGTCGCTTTCATGTCCACCCACACCGTCCCGGACGCGATGCAGTCGAGGACGAACAGCCCGCCGACGTCGTGCACCGCGCGAGACACCCTGGAGATGTACTCGTCCGGGAGGATGATCCCGGTGGAGGTCTCGACGTGCGGCGCGAAGACCACCGCGGGCTTCTCCCTCGCGATCGCCGCGCACACCTCCTCGATGTCGTGTGGCATGAACTGCGGGTTCGACGAGTTATCCGCGGGCTGCCCCTTCAGAACGATCGTCTCGGACGGGATCCCCGTCTGTTCGAAGATGTCCGTCCAGCGATAGGAGAAGTACCCGTTGCGGAGTACGAGCACTTTTTTGTTCGTCGCCCACTGTCTGGCGACCGCCTCCATGCCGTAGGAGCCGCTGCCGGGCATGACGATCGTCGCCGAGCAGTTGTACGCCTCCTTCATCGTCGCGTCGATGTCGTTCATGATCTGCGGAGGGTTCGAACGCGACGCGCGGCGATGGACGGACGGTCAGAGGGGGAACCATAGATGTAAGATCTGGAACGAACGCGCGCGCGTCTTATCAACAACGCGTCCCTTCGCGGCGCGACCGGGGACGCGCCCGCCCGCGACGCGTCTCGCGCGGCGCGAGGGAAGCGGACCGATCGAGGAGGGTCCGCGCACCTTGCAGAACGGCGCGGACATGTGGTTCATCGCGCGGTCCGTGTACACCACGGAATACTCCAGGAGCCCGCCCGCGTGGTCTAACGGCAGCGGGGATTTGTGAAATGGCTTGGACGGATCGTGCGGGCACTTCATCGCCATCGCGCGACTCGCCGTCCGCGTCGCCCACGCGCGCGACGCGCACGCGCGCGCGGCTCTCGATAACGCGTTCATCGCGTGCGCGCTTCGACTCGGAGCGGGAGGAAGAGAGGGCCTGGCCGGGTGTCTCGACGCGAGCGGGCGCGGGGGCGGTCTGCGCGTGAGCGGGGCGGACACCACGTCCGCGTCGCGCCAAAGAGAAACGGAAAGGTGTAGGTGCCTGCCTCGTCACCGCCGAAGGCACCCTGCGTGCCAGCTGGCACCGACCGCGCGTTCGTCGTTCAAACCGAGACGGCGTTTCAAAAGTTATCGCGCGCGCTTTCATCGGTCGGTTCGACGCGGGAACGCGATCAAACGTGAGCGGGTGAAAATCGTTTGATCGCGGAGCAGCGGCGATCGACCGTACACGACGCGCCAACAAAGCGGATCAGGCTCGTCACGACGCGCTCGGTGTTTTCCCTCCGCGTCCCCCTCGCCGCGGTCACCGATCCACTCCACGCCGCGCGTCGATCTCCCCCCCCCCCCCCCCACGATGGCTCTCCGTCAATTCTCGCGCCGCGTCGCCGCGCCGATGCTCAACCTCCGCGCCGCCGCGCCCGCGATGAACGCGCGAGCCATGAGCACCGTGATCGAGGGGCTCAAATACATGCAGTCGCACGAGTGGGCGAAAGTCGACGGCGACGTCGCGACGATCGGGATCACGGATCACGCGCAGGCGGAGCTCGGCGACGTCGTCTACGTCGAGCTTCCGGAGGTTGGGAGCACGGTGACGCACAAGGAGACGTTCGGCGTCGTCGAGTCCGTCAAGGCGGCGAGCGACGTGTACTCGCCGGTGACTGGGGAGGTGATCGCGATCAACGAAGACCTCGCGGACGCGCCCGGGAAGGCGCGTTCTATCTTCACACTGGTCCCCATACGACCCCGTTCGCGTGGTGAACGCCGATCCTTAAGGACTTTGCCCGACGTTTCTCTCCGCCCACTCCACGGTTTCAATCCCGACACACATCGACGCCTTTCAACTCCATCTGACGCCTTTCAACTCCACCCCGACAACGACCCTAGGTGAACGAGGGCGCGTTCGAAGACGGGTGGATGATGAAGGTGAAGATGTCGAACGCGGGGGAGCTCGATTCGCTCATGGACGCGGCGGCGTACGAGAAGAGCTGCGAGTGAGAAGAGAGGACGGAACGGACGCGCGGGAAGGCGCGGAGGAGGAGGAGGAGGGACGGGAGCGAGCGACGCGACGCGATCAGATCTTGAACTAACGGAATAGTTTTCTTCCTGTCGGCGGCGGGTGAAAAGAAAGAGAGGCTCTTCGCGTTCGATCATCACGTCGAACTACTCGACGACGACTATTCACACCGCGAACCGTCGCGGCCACCAACGCCGCCACGCGCCGTCAGTCTCAGTTCAGCCCGACGCACGCGCTCAGGATTTCCTCCTCGCGCAGGTGCGTCTGGAACGCGTTCACTTTCGCGCGCAACGCGTCGATCGCGGTCGCCTTTTTCTCCAACCCGCGCGACAGCTTCTCCACGTACGCGTCGATCGCGCTCCCGGGCTTGTCCACGTCCGACAGAAGCTTCATCTCCGCCTTGACGAGCTCCATCGTCTGCTCGATCGTCGCGCGGTGCGCCGCGATCACCTCCTCCTCTTCCTCGAGGATCAAGTTGATGAGATCGTCGTGCGCCTGAGGGTCGTTCCGTCCGTGCGAGCGAATGATGTCGGGGTTGAGTTGAAAGGCGTCAGATGAAGTTGAAAGGCGTCGCGGTGTGTCGGGATTGAAAGCGAGGGACCCTGGGAGGTGAGACACGCCGGCGAAAAAGTCCTTAAGGAACGGCGTTCACTACGCCGATGCGGTCGTATGGTGACTGGTGTGAGGAATACGCGCCTTGACCATCTTCGCCGCGTCTACGGGGGGGCCGGTGCCGTCCGCGGCGGCTCGCGCGGCGGCGGCGGCGGCGGCCGACGGCGACATCGCCGTCGCCGCGTGCGTCGCCGCGCGCGTCTTGGTCGTCGCCGCGGTCGCGAGGCGCGACTTGCCGCCGACCGCGCCGGGTCCGCCCCCGCCGGGGCCCGCGCGTTTCGGCGTCGGCGGTAAGCCGCCGGGGGGCGAAGCCGCCGCCGCCGCCGCCGCCGCCGCGCCGCGCTCCTTCTCTTCCCTCTCCGCAATCACCGCGGCGACTCTCTCCGCGGCCGCGCGTCTCGCGGCCGCGGCTTTCGTCGGCGACGCGCGCGACGGCGGCGCGGTGGACGGGCGCGGGATCCGCGACGACCCCGACCCCGACCCCGACGACGACGACGGCGGCGGCTTCCTCGGGCTCCCCTTCGCGGGGCTCCCGCCGCCGCCGGACGCGTTCGCCGCGCGTCGGTCCGCGCTCGTCAGTTTCAACGAGTTCAGGCTCCTCCGCACGGACGACGCGTCGCCACCGTTCGCCGTCGTCGGTCGCTTCGTCGCGACTGCGGGCGCGGTCGGATCGAACGCCGTCGTCCGCGGGTCCGCCGCGGTGGCGGCGTCGTCGGCGGAAGAAGCCCCGCCGGAGACGTCTCGCGACGATAACGCGGCCACCCCCCTCGCTCCCGCGGCGCCGCCGCCCGCGTTCGCGTACCCGTACCGTCCCCCCTCTCTCGCGGTGCTCGGCCGAACCCTCGACGGTTCCGGCCGCTCGAGGGGTATCGCGGGTTCCGACGCGTCGGCGCCGCCGCGACCGCTCGAAGACGACGACGACGTCCCCGCGTTGATTGGCGTGACGCCGTCCGCCGCGAGCGCGCGCCCCGCGCCGACGACCGACTTCTTCCCGCCGCCGCCGCCGCCGCCGCCGTTCCCGCCGCCGTCGCCGCGCAGCTCCTTCACGCGGTACGCGTACCGCAGCGTGTTCAGCGTGTGCTCGCACGAGCCCGTCGCGGGAGAGACGTTGGCGATCATCACCGTCCGAGCGTCGCCTGGGGTGGAGTTGAAAGGCGTCAGAAGCGGAGTTGAAAGGCGTCATAGGGTCGGGGATTGAAAGCAAGGGACCCTGGGCGGAGAGAGACGACGGCAAAAGTCCTCAAGGATCGGCGTTCACCACGCGAACGCGGTCGTACGGGGACCAGCGTAAGAACGCGCCTAAAAAAGAATCCCGCAAAACCTCCGTGAGCTTCGACCCGCGGAACGGCACGTGCGACGCGCCCATGTCCAGCGCTCGGATGCACTCCTTCAGCGCCAGCAGAGACTTGTTGATCTCCGCGCCCTCCAGGCGCGTCTGACGGTCGTTATCCGTCGTGTCCGCGCCGCGCTCGCTGCCGGCGAGGTCGATGAAGGAAAACTTCCCGTGCGCGATCTCGTGGGTGGCGCCCTTGTCGTTCGCCGCGGGGTGGATTTGAAAGGCGTCAGAAGCGGAGTTGAAAGGCGCCGAGGGCGGGTATTGAAAGCGAGGCGTGGGCGGAGAGAGACGAATGCAAAAGTCCTTAAGGATCGGCGTTCACCACGCGTGCGCGGTCGTACGGGGACCAGTGTGAGGAGAACGCACCTTCTCGTTCGCCGCCATCCGCGCGGCGACGGACGGCGGCATCTGAAGCGTCTCCGCCGCCTCCCTCGCGATCGACTCCGCGTCGTTCTTCGCGCCGCTGGCGTCGCCGCCGCTTCCGACGCCGCCGCCGCTTCCGCCGCATGATCCGCCGCGGCGCTTCAGCGCGAGCTGGAGGATCGCGTGCGAGCGCGACGACTCCGCGTTGGCGCCGGTGCTTCCCACGCACCTCGCCGCGGTTCCGTGCTCGATGAGCCGCTCGACGAGATCCACGTCCGCGATCTCAAACTCTTGTAAACCCACGACGCACATCTGCGACCGCGCGTCCTCGCGTATGACGAGCTTCCTTCGGCCGTTCAGGAGGTCGTACACCTTGCCGCCGTAGATCTCGAAGAAGGACACGTGCAACGCGAGCGACGCGTTCTCCGGCCTCGCGAGATACGCTAGAATTTCCCCCGCGGCTCGGATCGGCAGCGGCGACATCGTGTGCGTCTTTCCGCTCCCCGTCTGTCCGTACGCGAAGCACGTCACCTTGCACCTGTGAAATATGCTCCCCACGAGCGGCTTCACGCAGTCGCGGTAGATCTCGTCGTTGTTGGAGCTCTCCGGGTAGACCTCGTCGAACGCGAACTCGTGCCGCTCGGTGTACCGCGTGAGATCCACCTTTTGCCTAGGTTCCCAGACGACAACTTTTCCCGGTATACCGCGACCGCCCAGCCCGGTCGTCCCGGTCGTCCCGGTCGTCCCCGCGTCGCCCGATCGATTTCGATCCGCGCGATTCATCGTGACGATGTCCTCCTGACCGAGCTCGTGTTCCTTTCGGTTCATCGGACGCTTCCTCACGACGACGCGGATCTTCGATCTGTCGCCGTCGAAGGACGCCACGCGCGCGGGCGAAGACGCGGGCTCGATCTTCGTCGTCGTCGCGTCGAGAAACGCCCTCCGCTCCGCCGTTTCTTCTTCCGTCGTCGTCGCGTTATTGTTGTTGTTGTACTCGCGCGAGAGCTCGTGGAGCTTCTCGAGCGGCGACGCGGAGAGATCGCCGCCGGAATCGCCGCCGGGACTGGCGATGACGCGAGTGAGGAAATCTTCGCCCAAGCCGCCTCGGTCGCGAAGGTCGAGGAGCGATCCGCCCTCCGCGTCGAGCCCGCCCGCGACGCCGTGCGCCTCTCTCAGGAGGTCGTCGTCCACGTCCACGGGGGAGGACAGCAGAGGCGAGAGGTTCGGCTCCGCGCGGATGACGTCGTCGTACCGCCGCCGCGCCTCGGGGGTGAACACCGCCGCGGGGTCGACGCCGCCGTCGCGTGAAGATTTAGGGCCGTTCTATACAAGCGAACGTCGGGGTGGAGTTGAAAGGCGTTAGTTGGAGTTGAAAGGCACCGAGGGCGGGGATTGAAACCGAGGGATGAGCGGAGAGACACGACGGGCAAAGTCCTTAAGGATCGGCGTTCACCACGCCAACGCGGTCGTATGGGGACTAGTGTATAGAACGCACATTATTCATCGCGTTGGCACCCCTCGATCGCTCCCCCGCGGCGGCAGCGCTCCTCGCGCTTCGAAACGCGCCCTCGCTGTTCAGCGTCTTGATCAGACGGAATAACTTCTGCTTATCCGCCGTGTCCACGACGCCGTGGGACGCGAAGTCGGACATCATCAGCGCGCCGAACGATCGTTCGGTCGTTCGCGCGAACGCCTCGTGGTACGCGTGAAGCCCCGCGCGCGAGAGCCATCCGCGGACGCGGCCGCATCCGCCGTCCGGAGGATGGGGAGCGGCGCCGCGGTCGCCGCCGCTCGCGTTCTCCTTCCCGCCGTGCGAGAGCGTCATCGCGAGGTCGTCGTCGTCGTCGTCGTCGTCGTCTGGGAGGGAGCGGGGAGGGGGACGGGTCAAGATCGATCGGCGAGAGGGTGGGAAGATTCGAAAAAGTCGTCCGCGCCGAGGACGCGGGCGCGAGCGATCGCGACGCGTCGAGGGGGCGACGACGCGCGCGCGGGGAGGCGAGCGCGGCCGCGGACCTTCCGGACGCTCGATCGATCGGTGTCCTCCGAGCCGCGACGCTTCGACGACGCGCGGTGGTGTGATGAGAGTGGTCGCAGGAGCCGAGTCAACGCGCGCCGGAGCAAATATCTCTGGAGCTCGTCTCATCTATCATGCAGCCTGGGCCATTCCATACAAAAACAGTTCATCGGTCAGTTGAAAGGGGGAGCGATCAAATGTTGAAACCGGGCGATGGGTGAAAAACTTGCCGGTCGCGGTCGGGCGAACCTGAGCTCCCTCCGCCTGTCTCGTCATCACCATCCGCCTCGTCACTCTCGTCGCCGCGGCGGCCGGCCATGCCCGGTCGCGACGACGACGCGGACGGCGGCGGCGGCGGCGGCGACGACCGCGACCGCGGGCCTCCGCGACGGCGCGTCTTCGACCCCCTCGGCGGCGGCCGCGCGGGGCCCGGCGACGGACCGCGCGTGGTCCATCTCGCCGCGGACGACCCGCTCGTGGCGTCGACGCTGAGATCCATGATTCGGCGGGGCGGCGGGACGCTCGCGCCCGCGTCGTCGTCGTCGTCGCCGCGGCGGGGGGTGCTCTCGAGCGGGCTCGACTGGCTCGCGCGCGCGACGGACGACAGCGGCGGCGACCGCGGCGACGACGACGACGACGTCGCGGGCATCGGACGTGGAGGAGGAGGACGCGAACGGGGAGGCGACGGAGGAGGCGCGCGCGGCGACGTGGAGTCCGGGCTCGGCGAGCTCCAGCGCGCGTGGGAGCGCCTCCGCGCGGACGGCGGCGGCGCGGACGGCGAGCGCGCGACGCCGTCGAGCGGCGGCGGCGACGACGGCGTCGGGGAAGACGGAGGCGCGCCGACCGACGCGGCCGCGGACTTGACCAACTCGGCGGCGTTTCGCTCGGGTGCGTTCGTTGCAAACGTTTCGTTTTTCACGCATCGCCCGCTTTCAACATTTGATCGCTTCCCCTTTCAACTGACCGGTGAACACACACGGCGACCTCACAGCGACGCGTTGGCTCGAGCACACCGTCCCGGTCCTCCTCCTCCTCCTCCTCGCGCACTTCGCGTCGCACGCCAAGGCGATCTGCGTCTACGCGTTCTTCTTCGTCGTCCTGACGCGCTGCGACGCGTACCTACGCGCGCGCGTGGGGAAGACGAAGCGAGGGGACGACGGCGGCGGCGGCACAGCTGGCGGTACAGCTGGCGGCGGCGCGGACGCGTCTCCCGCGGGCGCGGCGGTGGCGCTGACCGTCGTGTTGCTCTCGCACTTGACGCTGCTGCGGACGATGTACCCGACGGACGCGTTCTGGGGGCGCGTGTTTTTGTTCACGCTGCCGAGCGGCGACGGCGCGGACGACCCCGCGGCGTGGGGCTTCGCGCGATGGGGCACGGTGCGCGGCGCATTCGTTCGTTCGTCGCGCCGTGCATTCATCTCTCCGCGCGACGATACCTCCTCCCGAGTTCTCATCAGTCACTCGAGAAGGATTCGATTCGCCGACGCGCTCTGCGCGCGCTTTACTCTCACCACCCACGCGTTCGTTCCATACCTCGTTCGTTTTGACACGTGTACATACGCTCAACCAATCACTGACTGACAAGTGTCTCGCCTCGACCGCTCGCGTCGCAGGACGCGGACGGCGCCGCGCCCGGATTCGTCGACGCGACGTGGCGGACGTGCGCGGTCGACTTGGTGTTGAAGTACGTCGCGATGGTGGTCAAGGCGGGGACGTACGCCGCGACGGCACACAGCGACGGCGGGAGGAGGAGGAGTGCGAGAGGGGTCCGGGGCGGGGGTCCCTCGCGCTGGCGCTGGCGTTGGATCCGCGAGTTTGGGAGGAAGGAGCGCGGCGCCGGCGCCGGCGGAGACGGAGACGTCGGCGGCGGAGACCCGCCGCCGCCGTCGTCGCCGTCGCCGTCGCCGTCGTCTCCGAAGCGCCAACGCCTCGCGAACGCGCGACGACGCGCCGTCTCTAGATCGCTCGCCGCGCGGCTGTCGTTCATCGAGGTGCGTTCTATACACTGGTTCCCATACGACCGCGTCGGCGTGGTGAACGCCGATCCTTAAGGACTTTGCCCGGCGTATCTCTCCGCCCAACCCTCGCGTTCAATCCCCGCCATCGACGCCTTTCAACTCCAACTGACGCCTTTCAACTCCACCCCATAGAACGCGTCGCTGACGTATCGCTGCGTCGCGCCGACGCCTGTTTGGTTCGCGTACTTCGCGTCGCGGTCGACGTTCGGCGGCGCGTTCGCGGGGTGCTACCTCTTGTTTAAAGCGCGCGCGACTTACGAGCGCGTCGTCGCGGCGATCGCGGCGTGGCGCGCGATGGCGCGCGCGCACGACGGCCACGGCGCGCGGGCTTCCCCCGCGGACGTCGCGGAGGCTGGCGACCGGTGCGCGATTTGCCAGGTGAGTGATGCGTACTGTATGACTACAGTAGTCCCCGCGCGACCGCGTTCGCGCGGTGAACGCCGTTCCTCGATGAGGACTTTCCCTTCCCTTTCAACGAACGCGAACGAACGACGCGCGCTCGACCGGATCGGTCTCCGACGCCCTCGCGCGACTGACCGGCGCCTCTCCCCGATCGCGCGAGTTGTCACACTGGTCCCCATACGAACGCGTTCGTGTCGTGAACTTCATTCCTTGAGGACTTTCTCTCCCGGCGTTTCCTCCGCAGGAGCGTTTCGACGACCCGGTCAAGCTGGCGTGCGAGCACGTCTTCTGCGACGGGTGCGTCGGGGAGTGGTTCGAGCGCGAGCGGACGTGCCCGCTGTGTCGCGCGAGCGTGGGGGGCGCGGGCGCGGGCGCGAGGCCGTACGGCGACGGCGGGACGGTCATGATCGGGAACGTGTTCTAGTTAGGAGGGCCATAGTTCACCGGTCAGTTGAAAGGAGACGCGATAAAGTGTTGAAACCGATGTATGGGTGAAAAACTGTTTGTATAGAACGCACCTCAAGGAAGTTCCGACACGTGTCGTCGCGTCTCCGCGCTCGACGAAGCACTTCCATGCCGCCCGCGCCGCTCCTCCCCACGGCCGCGTCCGCCGCGTGCGGCGCGTCGCTCCCGTCGTCGTCGTCGTCGTCGTCGTCGTCGCGGCGCGCGTCGTCGCGCCGCGGCGGCGTCCGCGTCGCGATGGCGTCGGCCGCGCCGTCCGACGCCCATGCCGCCCCGTCGAAGACGCCGCCGAAGGTTGTCATCCTCGGCGGCGGCGTCATCGGATGCTCCGTCGCGTACTTCCTCAGGCGCGTTCTATACACTGGTCCCCATACGACCGCGTCGGCGTGGTGCACTCCGATCCTTAAGGACTTTGCCCGGCGTTTCTCTCCGCCCACCCCTCGCTTTCAATCCCCGACCTCGGCGCCTTTCAACTCCAACTGACGCCTATGAACTCCACCCCGACGTTCGCTTGTATGGAATGGCCCTCAGCGCGCGCGGCGTCCCGTCCACGATCGTCGAGCGGTGCGAGATCGCCGCCGCCGCGAGCGGCAAGTCCGGCGGCTTCCTCGCGGGCGGCTGGGGCGACGGCGGCGTCACGCAGGCGCTCCATCGCGAGTCGTTCGCGCTCCACGAGCGACTCGCGGCAGATCTCGAGCTGAAGGCGCGTTCTCCTCACGCCGGTCCCCGTACGACCGCGTCGGCGTGGTGAACGCCGTTTCTTAAGGACTTTCTCTCCCGGCGTCTCTCTCCGCCCAGGGTCCCTCGCTTTCAATCCCCGCCATCGACGCCTTTGAACTCCACCCCTGACGCCTTTGAACTCCACCCCGATATCATCGCTTCGTATGCAACGGCCCTGAAGACGTACCGAAAGATCCCGACGCTGTCCGTCGCCGGCGGCGGCTCGCTGAGCGCGCAGAAGCCGCCGCTCGTGTCGTGGCTCGACGGCGAGATCGCGAGCTGTTTGATGATGGACGACGCGACCGCGCAGGTGACGCCGTTGGAGCTGACGACGCGGCTGCACGAAGAGGCGATGAAGCTGGAGGGGTCGCGGACGATCATCGGCGAAGTCGCCGGCGTGCGGCTCGCCGCTCGCGACGGAAGTAACGGTCGAAGCGCGTCCGTTACCGGCGTCGAGGTCGTCGACGCGGAGACCGGAGAGATGTCCGTGCTCGACGCGGACGTCTGCGTCGTCGCCATGGGCCCGTGGTCCACGCGCGCGTCGGAGTGGTTCGAGATCGACGTGCCCATGACGGGCATCAAGGCGCGTACCATCTCACACTGGTCCCCGTACGACCGCGTTCGCGTTGTGAACTTCATTCCTTGAGGACTTTATCTCTCGTCGTTCGTCACTCTGCGCCCACCACCCCTCGCTTTCAATCCCCGCCCGCGATGCCTTTCAACTCCGCTTCTGACGCCTTTCAACTCATCAACCCCGACGTCCGTCGCTTCTCATTGAATCGGAATCGTCCTCAAGAGCGTCTCTCTTCTCTACGACGCCTCCGAGGCTGTCGCGAACGAGCCCGCGGCGCTGTTCTGCGCGGAGGACGAGAACGACTGCCACCTCGAGGTGTACCCGCGGAGCACGGGGGAGGTGTACATATGCGGCGTCGGCGGGAGCGAGTACGTGGACGAGACTCGGCTGTTGCCTGGCGGTGACCTGGGTGCGTCGGCGCGGAGACCCTTTTCTAACATCCTTCCACGTCATCAAACCACTAACCAATCGCATTATCGCTTCCCGCCACGTCGCCCGCCGATCGTTTAACAGACCGCGCGGACGTCGTGACGCCGGACCCGTCGCGCGTCGCCGCCGGCGCGAAATCCTTCGCGGGCCTCAGCGCCAGCGTCGGCGCGGGCGGCCCGCGGAAGACGCAGTCGTGCATGCGGCCGTGCCCCCCGGACGCGCTGCCTATTCTGGGAGCCGTGCCGGGCGTGGACGGCGCGTACATGGCGTGCGGGCACAACTGCTGGGGCATCTTGTGGGCGCCGGTGACGGGTCGCATCGTGAGCGAGCTCGTCGTGGACGGAAAGAGTCGGACGAAGATCGACGCGTTCTCGCCCGGGCGGTTCACGCGCGAGAGGGGGGGCGGACGCGGGCGCGGGAAGAAGATTCGAGGCGACGACGTCGGCGAGCAGTGGTGACGAGCGCGTCGAGTCGACGTGTTTAAAAGCTTGGCAGTGCAAAAAGACTTTATTAATTAGCGAAGCGAATTTCGCTCCGAACCGCCGCTCGCTCGATCGATCGATCGCGAGGGCGTCGCGCGTATGTACACGGCGAGCGCGTTCGCACGCGCCGCCGCCGGCGAGCAAAAAATAGATAGATAGGACAGTTGGGCGACGGCCGGCCACTCGTCGACTTATCACTCACTTCGCCTTGAGGCCTTCCTGGCCGTCCGCGGCGCGCAACGCGCCGAGCTCCGTCGGCGCCATCGTCCCGCAGATGGTCGACTTGCTGAACGCCTCCTCCGCGTTCGCGCCACCCTTCACCTCCTCCTCGATCTTCTCGTTGATCCACTCGAACGTCACCTTCAGGCCTTCCGCGAGCGGCACGGACGGCGCGTACCCGAGCTTCTCCTTGATGAGGTCGTTGTTGGAGTTGCGGCCGCGGACGCCCTCGGGACCGGGGATGTGCTTGATGGGCATGTCCGGCTTACCCGCGAAGCCGAGCGCGAGCGCCTGAGGGTCGAGGGAGGGTCGGGGCGCGTGGAGTTGAAAGGCGTCAGACGGAGGAGGAGTTGAAAGGCGTCATAGGGTCGAGCATCGAAACCACCGAGGGTTGGTGGGCGGAGAGAGACGACGGGAAGTAAAGCCCTCAAGGATCGGCGTTCACCGCGCCGACGCGGTCGTACGGGGACAGGTGTGAGAAAAAAAAAAAAAACGCGCCTGCATCTCGTTCATGGACACCATCTCGTCCGAGCCCAAGTTGACGGGCTCGCAGAAGTCGGACTTCGTGAGGCGGACGATCCCCTCGACGCAGTCGTCGATGTACGTGAACGACCGCGTCTGGAGGCCGTCGCCCCACATCTCCACCTCCGTCGTCGCCGTCGCGGCTTTGCGGCAAAACGCCGCGGGCGCTTTCTCGCGGCCCCCCTTCCACGTCCCGAACGGGCCGTAGATGTTGTGGAACCTCGCGATCCTGGTCTGGATCCCAAAGTCGCTCTGGTAGTGCTTGTAGACCTCCTCGGACGCGAGCTTCTCGAGGCCGTACGCGTCCTGCGGCTGCGCCGGCCACGCGTCGGCCTCTTTCAGCCCCGCGGAGAGCTGAGCGTGCGTGCGAAGCGACGAACGTCGGGGTTGAGTCGCGAGGCGTCAGTCGACCGGTGGGAGTTGAAAGGCGCCCGTCGTGGGGTCGCGTAGGGATTGAAACCGGGGGGCGATGGGCGGAGAGAAACGGCCGACGGGAAGTAAAGTCCTCAAGGAATGAAGTTCACAACGCGAACGCGGTCGTATGGGAACCAGTGTGACATGGGACGAACACGCGCCTCGGTCGTGAGCTGCGCGCCCTCGGGATAGATGCACGCGGAGGAGGCGTAGAAGACGCGCGTGACGCCCTCGACGCGGCACGCTTCCATGACGTTGAAAGAGATCATGACGTTGTTGTAGAAGATGACGGAGTGGTTGCTCTGGATGAAGCCCATGCCGCCCATGTCTGCGGCGAGGTTGAAGCAGTGGTCGCAGCCTTTGAGGACTTTCTGGCAGTTTTCAAACAGACGCAGGTCCGCGAGTATAAACTCGTCGCAGAACATTTCCTCCTGTCGTGGCATCGCAGGTGAGCGGACGAGCGACGGGGCGGGCGGGCGGGCGCGAGCGGTCAGTCAACGCGGGTCGCGCGTCGTCTCGCAGACGTCGAGCGTTCGAACGCGCGCGGCGAGCGTCCGTCGTCGTCGTCGTCGTCGTCGATCGATCGATCGCGGAGACGACGGAAGAGGTGGGACACGTCGACGACGACGCGTTCGATTGCGGATAAACGGCATCGAAGCGGCGCTGCGGGGATGCGCGCGGGGGAGATCTCGCGAGGACGGACGACGCGAGGGGCGCTCTCGCGAGGACGTCTCGAGTCGACGCCGCCGCCGGTGACGCACCGGCATGTGCTCGTTCCTCTTCCAGTCGCATCCGACGATGTGGTGCCCCTCTTCCTTGAGCCTCTTGGCGAGGTGCGACGCGATGAAGCCGCCGGCGCCGGTGACGCAAATCTTCAGCTTCTTCTCCGGCCAGTACTTCTCCGTGCCGTACTTCCCTCGGAGCTGCAGGTTATCGTATCCAGCGGCCGCCATCGGTGGTGTTGTTGTTGTGTCGTGAGGGTGGTTTACGGAGGCGGTTTTGCGTGTCGGGAGCCGGCGAGGGTCTCCGCGCGAGGACGTGTGAATGCGTTCGAAAGTGCGCCGATTGCAAAAAGCGAAACGAGCGCAGTCCACACGGCGACGCGAAAGCGCACGCACGACCGCAGAAAAGCGTTCGACCTTTTTCGCGTGACCGTTCGTACGGCGCGCAGTCACGATCTGATGCCGGTAAAAAAAGAGCAGGTTATGGGCGATCGGCGCCGGCTGCGCTGCCAAAAAAACCAAAAAAAACATTTGCGGCGCCGCCCCTTCCTGCCGACACCGCGGACAAATTCTTCTGCACGCGTCGCGCGAAGAACGACTTCCGCGATGTCGGCGCAACCCGCGGACCTCGTCCCCGCCGTGGAGGCGTACCTCGCCGCGAACGGCCTGAACGACACCCTCAGCGCGCTGAAGTCGGAGGCGAAGAAGAAGAACCTCACGCCGAGCAAGACGGCGAGTCCCCCGATTCCGATCCAATCATCTCATCGCGCTCTTCGTCGTCCCCGAGACGCCGCCCACCGCCCGACCGTCCGCGCTGACGTCTCCTCCGTCCCCCGCGTCTTCTCGCGATCCGATCAGGCGAAGAACCTCGACGCGGACCTCGTCGAGATCGCGAACGTTTTCATCGAGGCCAGGTGCGATTCGACGACGCGCGCTTCCGCGTCGCCGTCGCGGTCGCCGCGCCGATCCGCGCCGATCCATCCCCGCCGCCGCCGCCGCGAGTCGTCGTCTCGGGGAAATCAAATCGGTCGCGTCGATCGATCGTTCGTTCGCTTCCGTCCGTCCGTCCGTCGCTGACCCGTCCCTCCTTCCCCGCAGAGGCACGAAGCGCAAGGCGGAGTCCTCGTCCTCGTCCTCGTCCTCGGACAGCGACAGCGACAGCGACGCGAAGCCCGCGGCGAAGAAGGCGAAGACCGCGGCGAAGTCGTCGTCGTCGTCGTCGTCGTCGTCCTCCTCCTCCTCCTCGAAATCAAAGTCAAAGTCCAAGTCGAAGTCGAAGAGCGAGAGCGAGAGCAAGTCGAAGAGCAAGTCCAGCAGCTCGTCGTCGTCGTCGTCGTCGTCCAGCTCGAAGTCTAAGAGCAAATCGAAGTCGAAGAGCGCGTCGAAGTCAAAGTCGAAGTCGTCGTCATCGTCGTCCTCGTCGTCGTCGTCCGATTCGGACTCGGACTCGGACGCCGCCGACGAAAAGAAACCCGCCGCCGCCGCCGCGGAGGAGGATGAAAAGAAGTCAAGCAGCAGCAGCAGCAGCAGCTCATCTTCCTCGTCTTCGGACAGCGACGGCGACGCGAAGCCGACGGCGATGGAGACGGACGAGAAGAAGGACGACTCGAGCAGCTCTAGCTCGTCGTCGTCTTCCTCGTCGAAATCCAAGTCGAAATCCAAGTCGAAGTCGAAGAGCAAGTCGAAGAGCAAGTCGAAGAGCAAGTCTTCGTCGTCGTCTTCGTCGTCTTCGTCGTCTTCGTCGTCATCCTCGGACAGCGACAGCGACAGCGACGAGAAGCGCGCGGCGGCGGCGGCGGCGACCGAGGCGGAGAAGGACGACTCTTCGTCTTCCTCCTCCAGTTCTTCTTCGTCCGAGTCCGAGTCGAAGTCCAAGTCCAAGTCCAAGTCCAAGTCGAAGTCGAAGTTGAAGAGCAAGTCTTCTTCTTCTTCTTCTTCTTCTTCTTCTTCTTCTTCTTCTTCTTCTTCTTCTTCTTCTTCGAGCTCGTCGTCTTCCGACTCGGACTCCGACAGCGACGAGAAGCCCGCGGCGAAGGCGGAGGAGAAGAAGGACGACTCGAGCTCGTCTTCCTCGTCCTCGTCCTCCTCTTCCTCCAAGTCCAAGTCCAAGTCGAAGTCCAAGTCCAAGTCGAAGTCGAAGTCGTCGAGCAGCTCTTCGTCCTCCGACTCGGACTCGGACTCGGACAGCGACGAGAAGCCCGCGGCGAAGGCGGAGGACGCGAAGGCGGCGTCCAGCAGCAGCAGCAGCAGCTCCTCTTCCAGCGATTCGAAGAGCGAGGAGAAAACGAAGGCGGCGGTTCCCAAGCCGGACTCGTCGTCGTCCGACAGCGACAGCGACAGCGACTCGAAGAGCGCGTCGAAGTCGAAGTCGAAGTCGAAGAGCGAATCGAAGAGCGGCGGCGGCGGCGGCGGCAGCAGCAGCAGCAGCAGCAGCAGCAGCAGCAGCAGCAGCAGTTCGTCGTCGGAGGAAGAAGAGAAGCCCGCGGCGAAGAAGGCGAAGCCCGCGGCGAAGGAGAAATCCGCGCCCGGCGCGGAGGAGAACAGGAGGGTGACGCGGAGCCAGGCGGCGAAACCGTTTCAACGGTGAGTTTTTCACCCTCGCCCCGGTTTCGCCCGGTTCGGTTCGGTTCCGGTCGGTTTGGGTTGGCGGTTGTAACAGTACCGTCACACAGCAGCGCACACGACGCACACGACGCGCGCGCGCGCTCCTCGCGATCGTCCTTCCGCCCCGCCCGGCCCGTCGCTGATCAGACATGATCCAATCCATCCTCGATCGATCGATATACAGCGTGAACGTCGAAGAGTGGATGGGAAAGAAAGGGAGCTGGGACAACACGTACGAGGGCACGTTCGGCGAGGACGGCGTCGGGTGGAAAGCGCAGGCGGTGCTCGGTCAGGTCAAGGGCGACCGGTTCAGGCACGAGAAGAACAAGCGGAAGCGCAGCACCTACCGAGGCGGGCTGATCGACGACCAGAAGGTGAACAGCATCAAGTTCGAGCACTCGGACGACGAATTGTTCGACTGACGAGGGGCGAAGCGAGGCGGAGGCGAGGCGGAGGCGAACGCGCAGGCGGTGGATCGCTCCGGAGGCGCGAGCGACGCCGTCGGGTAGGGAGGGGTACAGTTGTGATTCCGCCGTAGAGAGATAAATTAATCACGACGCGATCGCTTCATTTTCGTCTTCGTCACGATTCGTAGTCCGCCGACGCGGAGACAACCTCCGGCGCCGCCACCGCGCCGCCGCCGCTCGCGTCGAGCGCCTCTCGCAGCCGCGCGTTCTCGTCCCTCAGCGCGTCCACCTCGTCCTCGAACGCTCGAATCCGCGCGCGCGCCGCGTCGAGCTCGCGCTTCATCCCGTTCGACCCGATTGACGCGATGGACGCCCGTTGGGATCCCTCCTCCTCCTCCGTCTCCGGCGGCGATTCGAACGCGCGCGCGACGTTCGATGTCGTCGCGCACATGAGCTCGTCTAACGAGTCTTCGCTGTCGCTCTGATCGACCGTGAGCTGCACGCCGCTCGCGCGCGCGATGGCGTCGATCGGATCCAGCTCCTCGTCCGGAACTTTCGGCTTCGACCTCGACGTGGACGACCTCGACGACTTCGACACCGAGCTCGAACTCTTCTTCCTCTCCGCCAAGACCCGCGGCCAGTCCGATCGGTCGCTCATCGCCGAACCCCTCCCGCCGCCGCCCCCGCGCGCGGGACCCTCGTCGAAACTTCCGCTCCCGCTGCCGTCCGCGCTGCCGCTACCAAAGTCCAAGCTGATGAGGGTAATTTCCCATACGAAGCGACGTCGGGGTGGAGTTCAATGGCGTCAGAAGCGGAGTTGAAAGGCGTCGAGGGCGGGGATTGAACGCGAGTGGTGGGCGGAGAGATGCGCCGGGAAAAGTCCTTAAGGATCGGCGTGCACCACGCGAACGCGGTCGTATGGGAACCAGTGTGAGGTAGAACGCGCCTCTCGTCGAACGACTCCAACGCGTCGCCGAGCAGCACGCCTCCGGTGAACGTCCCGAGCGCGTTTCGCTCCGTCTTGGCTCGTTCGCGCTCGGCGCGTCTCTCCTCTCGCAGCGCTCTCCTCTCCGATCGCGCCATGTTCGCCTCCGCCTCCTTCTCCCGTCGTCTCGCCTCGCGCCGTTCCGTCTTCTTCGCCTCTTGCGTCGCGCCGACGAGGTTCGCGAGCTGAGGGTAATTGTTCATACGAGCGAACGTCGGGGTGGAGTTGAAAGGCGTCAGAAGCGGAGTTGAAAGGCGTCGAGGTGTGTCGGGATTGAAAGGAAGGGGTGGGCGGAGAGACACGACTGGAAGAAAAGTCCTTAAGGATCGGCGTGCACCGCGCCGACGCGGTCGTATGGGAACCAGTGTAAATATGAACGCGCCTGAAGCGGCACGACGACGAGCGCGGTGAGGATGCTTCCCACGGTGGCCACTCTCCCGGCGGCGGTCACCGCCTCGAACGGCTGCCCGATGCCCGTCAGCGTCAGAAAGCTCCAGTACAGCGCGTCGCCGACGTCGCTGATGTTGTCGTTGACCTCGTACTCCAGGTCGTAGAAGAGCTCTCCCGCGAGGAGAAACACGCACAGAAACTCCACCGCGACGTTCGTGACCTTATCCGTCATGCGGTCGGCGTCGCCGCTCAGCCCGCCGTTTTTCGCCTCGACGAGGCGCAGCAGACGCAGGAGTCGGAAGAGACGCAGCGGGCGCAGCGCCGCCGCCGCCGCGCCGCCGCCGCCTCCGATGAACAGCTCGAGCGACGGCAGCACCGCGGCGAAGTCCACGAGCGCGACGGGCGACCGCAGGTAGTTCAGATCGAACCCCTCGCTCCACGCGCGAAGGATAAACTCGAACAGAAACACCGCCTGCGCGTTCCGTGGGGTCAATGGTCGTCGTCGGTCAGTCAACGTCGAAAGGGCAAGCGATCGAACGTTCGTTGAAACCGGACGGCGGGCGATGAAGAACGAAAGCGAAACGTAGTAAACGCGCCTGCAGCGTGTTCTCCGCGCTCGCGACGAAATCCGGGTCGATAAAGAGAGCGGAGAGGAGCGGGAACGACGCCATCCACGCGGGGGCGAGGTCGGCGATCGGGATCTTGTCCACCGCGGTCCACGCCGAGCTGCTCTCGAACAGAGAGTCGAATCCCTGCGGCGAGGGAGCGACCACGCGTCCGCGTCGGGTCGGTCAGTGATGAATGAACAAATAAATGAAATCGTGAACGACGCGGAAAGGGAAGGAGCGGTCGCGCGCGAAGCCGTCCGTCGTCGCGCGGGCCGCGAGGTGGGTCTCGCTCACCGAGATGATCAGCGCGCCGATGGTCGTGCCGACGATCCACACCCCCGAGCGATCCACGACCGCGAGGCCGTCTTTGCACCTGCGCGACAGCGGCATGGCGTGCCACTCCACCGCGTCGAAGGCTCTCCTCTCGCGGTACGGCCCTCGGAGGCCGAGGTCGTCCGCGAACTCGTAGTCGTCGAGCGACCTCGCGCCAACGTCGTCGTCTCCGTCGTCGTACATCGCGCGCGGCGGCGCGGCGACGCGGCGGTCGCGGCGGACGCGGCGACGCGGCGCGAGCGGCGAGAACGCCGCCGACGACGTCCCCCCGCTCGTCGCCGTCGTCGTCGTCGTCTCGCGCGCGCGGACTCGCGCGCGCGGCGCGTCGCCTCGCGTCGCGCCGACGCCGCGCGGTCGCGGCGCGGCCGCGGCCGCCACGAGCGACGCCATCGTCCTCGCGACGACGACGACGCGAGCGACGACGCGAGTCGACGCGACGAAGCGGCGCGGCGGTCAATGAATGACGTCTCGGAAAGCGCCGACTGCAGAGAGTTTTGTGGCTGCGTATGTGTCACGTCAGCATGTCGTTTACGTTTCGTATGATCAAACAGTCAGAGCCGAGTTTTCGTACGCGTCTGACTACTACAAGTACGCCCTAAAATTTTTTTGCGGCGCCAGCCTTGATGAAACAGCTTTTTTTCGAACCAAACGCGATCGCGCGGCCGCGCCCCCCGTCCCCCCCTCCCCGCCGCCGCCATGGCCGACGTCCAAGCGGTCCTGGACATGAACTCGCTCGCCGCGTTCGAGCAACTCCTCGGCGGGCTCACGTCCGTCGACAACGCGACGCGGACGAAGTGCGAGGAGATCTTCAACCAGTGCAAGGCGCAGCCGGACGTGCTCTGCCTGCAGCTCGTGCGCGCGCTTCGCACGTCCGCGGCGATCGAGCACCGCGAGATGAGCAGCATCCTCCTCAGGCGCGTCTTGACGAAGGACGAGGTGTCGTTGTGGGCGAACCTGCAGCCGCAGACGCAAGACGGGATCAAGGGCGAGCTGCTGAAGTCGATGCAGGAGGAAACGCAAAAGACGATCGCGCGCAAGGTGCGACGCCGTTCGTTCGTTCGTCGCGTCCAGAAGACCGCCTCCCTCCGTCGACTTCGTCTCTCGAGGACGCGTCGGCCCCGGATTCGGGATCTTCTTCGCCGCCCGTCCACGCGTCTCTATCTCAACCGCACATTCCGCTCCACGTCATCGCCACGTCATCGCCACCGACCGACGCGATCGCCTCATCTCACCTCATCTCATCATCAGGTGTGCGACACCGTGGGCGAGCTCGCCGCCGGCATCTACGACGACGGAAAGTGGCCCGAGCTCCTCCCGTTCCTGTTCACGTGCGTCACGCAAGGCCAAGAGACGCTGAAGGAGTCCGCGCTGAACGTATTCGCGCAGCTCGCGGAGTACCTCGGCGAGTCGCTCGTGCCGCACCTGGACACGCTCCACGGCATCCTCGCCCAGGTGCGTTCTATACACTGGTCCCCATACGACCGCGTTGGCGTGGTGAACGCCGATCCTTAAGGACTTTCCCCGTCGTCTCTCTCCGCCCACCCCTCCCTTTCAATCCCCGCCCTCGGCGCCTTTCAACTCCACCTGACGCCTATGAACTCCACCCCGACGTTCGCTTGTATGGAACGACCCTCAGTGCCTGCAAAACACGGACATCAACGTGCGACTCGCGTCGCTGCGCGCGTGCTGCTGCTTCGTCGAGGCGCTCGAGAACGCGACCGACCGGGCGAAGTTCCAGGACCTCCTCCCCGCGATGTTGCAGACGTTGGGGGGGGCGCTGCAAGGGAACGATGAGTCCAGCGCGCAGGAGGCGCTCGGAATGTTCGTCGATCTAGCCGGCTCGGACCCGCGATTCGTGAGGAAACATCTGTCGCACATCGTCGACGCGATGATGACGATCGCGGAGCACGACGACCTCGAGGACGGGACGAGGCACCTCGCGACGGAGTTCTTGGTCACGCTGTGCGAGGCGCGCGACCGCGCGCCGGGGATGATGCGCAAGCTCCCGAACTTCGTCCCGCGTTTGTTCAACTGCCTGACGTCTTTTCTGCTCGACGTCGAGGACGACGCGAGCTGGTGAGCGTTCTACACACTGGTCCCCATACGACCGCGTCGGCGTGGTGCACGCCGATCCTTAAGGACTTTGCCCGGCGCATCGCTCCTCCCACCCCTCGCTTTCGATCACCGCGCTCGACGCCTTTCAACTCCACCTGACGCCTATCAACTCCACCCCGACGTTCGCTCGTACGGAACGACCCTCAGGCACGCCGCGGAGAAGGAGGAGGACGGCGACGCGGGCGAGGGCGAGCGGTACGACATGGGGCAGGAGTGCCTCGACCGCGTCGCGATCGCGCTCGGGGCGAACTCGGTGTTGCCGTGCGCCGCGGCGACGATCCCGGCGTTGATCCAAGACCAGGACTGGCGCAAGCGTCACGCCGCGCTCGTCGCGTTGGCGCAAATCGCGGAAGGGTGCGTCAAGGGCATGCTCAAAGACGTCGCCGGCGCGGTGTCGCCGTGCCTTCACGCGGTCGCGTCCGACCCGCACGCGCGCGTGCGCTGGGCCGCGGTGAACGGCATCGGACAGCTGTGCACGGACCTCGGCCCGAAGCTTCAGGAGAAGGACCACGCGCGCATTCTCCCCGCTTTGCTCGGCGCGATGGAAGACCCGTCGCACCGCGTGCAAGCGCACGCGGCGGCGGCGATGGTGAACTTCTCCGAGGAGTGCCCGCCCGAGCACATGGCGCCGTTCTTGGACCAGCTCATGAACAAGCTCCTCGCGATGCTGCAGGGTGGGCACAAGATGGTGCAGGAGGCCGCGTTGACGGCGCTCGCGTCCATCGCGGACAACGCGCAGACGGCGTTCGCGAAGTATTACGGCACGGTGCTGCCGTTTTTGAAGCAGATTCTCGTCGCCGCGGCCGGGAAGGAGCACCGGATGCTGCGCGCCAAGGCGGTGGAGTGCATCTCGCTCGTCGGCATGGCCGTCGGCAAGGAGCGCTTCGCCGCGGATGCCAAGGAGGTGATGGACATGCTGCATCAGCTTCAACAGGGCGGGTTCGAAGACGACGACGCGACGACGTCGTACATGCAGCAGGCGTGGACGCGCCTGTGCAAGTGCCTCGGGCAGGACTTCATTCCGTACCTGCAGGTCGTCATGCCGCCGCTGCTCAAGTCCGCGCAGGTGAAGCCGGACGTGCAGGTGACGGACGTGGAGGACGGCGCGGACGACGACGAGGACGAAGACGTCGAGGTGATCACCGTCGCCGACAAGCGGATCGCGATTCGAACGACGGTGCTCGAGGAAAAAGCCACCGCGTGCAACATGCTGTGCTGCTACGTCGACGAGCTGAAAGAAGGGTTCCTGCCGTACCTGCAGCCCGTCGCGGAGACGATGGTGCCGCTCCTGGACTTTTACTTTCACGAGGACGTCCGCAAAGCCGCGGTGGCGTCGTTGCCGGACATCTTGCGCGCGGGCAAGTGCGCGATGGAGAAGAGCGTCGTCAACCCGGCCACGGGCGCGGTCGTCGACGCGGCGTACGTCAAGTCGCTCGTCGCGTTCGTCGTCCCGCCTTTAATCGCGGCGCTCGCGAAGGAGCCCGAGGTTGAGATCCAGGCGAGCATGTTGGAGTCCATGAGCGACTGCGCGGGCGTCGCGGAGGAACTCATCGCGGAGCACATCGGCGCGATGATCGAGCAGTTCCAGAAGACGCTGACGGGCTCGCTCGAACGCCGCGCGGAGAGGAATAAGCGCGCGAACACGGAGGACTTCGACGGCGAGGAGATGGAGGCGCTGAAGGACGAGCAAGCCGCGGAGGACGAGGTGTTCGATCAGTTCGCCGAATGCGTCGGCTCTCTCCTCCGATCGCTCGGCGCGCGCGTGCTCCCCGCGTTGGAGCCGCTTCTCGCGACGTACGTCGCGCCTATGCTGTCGCCCGAGAGGTCCCCGGGGGAGCGTCGGGTGCGTTCTATCTCACACTGGTCCCCATACGACCGCGATGGCGTGGTGAACGCCGATCCTTAAGGACTTTGCCCGTCGTCTCTCTCCGCCCAGGGTCCCTCGCTTTCAATCCCCGCCCTCGACGCCTTTCAACTCCGCTTCTGACGCCTTTGAACTCCACCCCGACGTTCGCTCGTACGGAACGGCCCTAAGATCGCCATCTGCGTCTTCGACGACGTCATGGAGCACGCGTCGGACGCGTCCGGCGCGTCGTTGAAGTATCTGGACGGATTCATCGGCCCGTGCCTCGCCGGGTGCGGCGACAAGGACGCGGACGTGCGGCAGGCGTCGGTGTACGGCGTCGGCGTCATGGCGGCGGCTTTGGGGGCGAACTTCACGCCGCACGTCCCGAGCGCGCTCGCGGCGATGGCGGCGGTGATTCAAGCCCCGAACGCGAGGGACGAGGACAACATCTCCGCGACGGAGAACGCGATCTCGAGCCTCGGGAAGATTCTGGAGTGGCAGCGCGTCGCCGTGCCGTCGCCCGAAGCGGTGGCGCCGCAGTGGCTCGCGATGCTTCCGCTGACGGAGGACACGGCGCGTTCTATGTCTTTCACACTGGTCCCCGTACGACCGCGTCGGCGTGGTGAACGCCGTTCCTTGAGGACTTTATTTCCCGTCGTGTGTTTCTCTCCGCCCATCACACCTCGGTTTCAATCCCGACAACACGCCTCGACGCCTTTCAACTCCGCTTCTGACGCCTTTCAACTCCACCCCGACGTTCGCTTTGAACGATGGACCCTCGACCCTAAGGTTGAGGCGCGCGTCGTGCACCAGCAGCTCGTGCGGATGTTGGAGAAGAACGACCCGCACTTGTTGGGCGCGAGTCACGAGCACCTGGGGAAGGCGCTGTGCGTGTTCGCGACGGCGATGCCGACGGCGTCGCTGTCGGACAAACTGTCGCTGTGCACGGAGGAGACGAAGTGCGTTCTATCTCACGCCGGTCCCCATACGACCCCGTCGGCGCGGTGAACGCCGATCCTTAAGGACTTTTCCCGTCGTTACCGTCCGCCCATCCCTTGCGTTCTATCCCCGCCCGCGTTGCCTTTCAACTCCGCTTCTGACGCCTTTCAACTCCACCCACAGGGCGCGGATGAAGAACTTGATAGCGCAGATGCAAGGGGGGCTGCCCGCGGAGACGATGCAAAAGGCGTTCGCGGAGCTCGACGCGGAGAAGCAGGCGGCGTTGCAGGCGGCGATGGCGTGATGATATGAGATGCGGTTTAATGAGTGGCGAGCGAGCGGCGAAACGCGGCGGGCGGGCGGGCGTCGCGGGAGGGAGGCGGACGGGGCGTCGGCGGGGTGTACGGTATGCGTGTAACGGGGTCGCGACTGATGACTTTTCTTTACGCCGGCGGCCGCGAAAGCCGCCGCTCGACGTACTGTACGTACAACACGCGCGTCGCGCGCGCGGTGAATAGATATGTAGAGATGATCGCGCGCCCCCTCCGATCCGCGCGCGATCCTTCCGACGGACGCCGGGGAAAGTCCTTATCAAGGAACGGCGTCCACCTCGCGAAACAAAGTCCTTAAGGATCGGCGTTCACAACGCCGACGCGGTCGTATGGGAACCAGTGTGAGGTGGTCGTACACACGGGACCGGCGCGACTACTACCCGGTGGCGCCAAACTTTTCGACGTCGTCCCACGTCTGATGCCAGTTGGCGAACGGGTGCGGCTCGAACTTCTTCGTGCCGTCCTGGAACTCCGGGAGCTCGTGATCCGCGGCTCCGAAGTAATTACACGCGGTGTTCTGATCGCCCGAGAGCCTCTCGTCCACGCACGCGACGGACACCGCGCAGCTGCCCACTTTCAGCGTGGGATAACTTTCCTTGTCGAACATCATCACGTCGTTGAACGGGCCGAGGCGCATCTTGAGGCGGTAGAACGGGATCCCGACCTTTCTCGCCACGCGCTTCTTGAGCTCGTTCTTGCTGTCCGTCTCGCGCATGTCCACCTGCGACGGATCGCGGACGGATCGATGGGGTGGGGGTGGGAGTGGGGGGGTGGGTGGTCGTCGGTCGCGGGAGGAGGTGGGCGGACGCGGGACTTCGGGGGAAACGCACGTCGATCGCGCGTCGAGCGAAGAAGCGCGGCGGCGAGGTGGCGCGAATTCGCGCACGTCGACGAAGTTGGCGCCGTGCGGCTTGTTGTCCGGGCCGGGGATGTCGAAGTAGCACGCGATTCGCGTTTTCACCATGACGCGCGAGGGGGGCGTGCGGGGAGTCGAGCGGCGCGGCGCGAAGTGTTTCATCAGTCCAAATCCGCGCCAGAAACGCTCGCGCGAAATCGATCGGTCGGTCGACGCATGGCGCGTTTCGCGCGTGTATGTCGCCCGCCGCACACTCTCTTTGCCGCCCTCGCCGATCGCATTGACGATTACACAGAGAGGCGCGGGACGGTCGGGGGACTGGCGCCGGCCGCGTTCGGGCATCGCACGCGGCCGCGTTTTGACGCGCGGGGTTCGCGTGCCCCGGGTCCGGGTGAGAAGCGCCTCGCCGGCGGCGGAGCGCGGGGAACAGAGAAGGTGCGCGTCAGATCGCGCGCGCGTCGTCCTCGCCCCCCGAGCTTTTTCGTATGAGAGTTCAGTCTGAGGAGGGAATTTCGCGCGCGTACGAAGCGCGGATTACCGCGACGGCGCCGCCGGCGACGCGCGCACCGCGCACGAGACGCGCGGGTTCGACGGTCTTCATCCGTGACGATCGATACCCGCGTCGATCGCATCGATCGGGGCGCGACATCCCCGCGAGATCGCGCGTTTCCCGCGCGGAACCCTAGCCGATTCTTCCCGATTCTTCCTGCCCGCGCGCTCGCAGTTCAAAAAATGTTTACGTTGCGCAGTCTGTCCGAGCGAACGATGAATGTTTCGCGATCGGTCGGTCCGCGTCCCCGTCCGCCCTCGATCGCGCTGACCCCGCGCGCCCCCCGCGTCCGCGCCGTCGCAGGCACGAGAGAACCTAAACCCTAATCCCTAATCCCTAACGATGGCGGGCGCGTCCAAGGCGAAGGGCGCGGCGGCGAAGGCGGCGGAGGCCAAGGCGGCGAAAGCCGCCGCCGCCGCCGCCGCCGCCGCCGCGGAGGACGACGAGCCGTACGTCGTGGACATGAAGACGATCGTTCGGTTAGAGCCCGCGTGGGTGGATTTCAAGCCGCAGCCGCCGCCGCCGCTGCCGCCGCTGCCGCACGAGGGAGAGACGGAGGAGGAGCGGCGGGCGCGTCTGGCGACGGACGCGGAGACCATCGCGCGCGCGAAAGCCATCAAAGATTCCAAGGCTGTGCTCGGCGCGAAGATCGCCGCGGGGCCGTACGGCAGCGCGAACAGGCGGAAGAGCCACTGGGATTACGTCCTCGTCGAGATGCGGTGGATGGCGAGCGATTTCGCCGCGGAGAGGGACTGGAAGCTGGCGGCGGCGCGGCGGATGGGGTCGGAGTGCGCGGCGGCGAAGGGGACGCCGGAGAGGCGCGATCTGGAGAGCGAGGCGACGGAGGAAGGGAAGAAGCGGTGCACCGCGGTCGCGAGGGAGGTGGCGGCGTTCTGGAAGAAGGCGTGGTCGAGGGCGTTGGAGAAGCCCGTGCCGTCCGCGGCGACGCTCGTGCCGGAGAAGAAGCCGGCGGCGGCGGATGGGGGCGACGGCGGCGGCGGCGGCGACGACGCGGCGGCGGTGAAGAAGGAGACCGCGGCGGTCGCCGCGGAGGACGGCCCGCGCGCGCGACGGTCCGCGGCCGCGGCGACCGCGTCTGAGGACGCGGCCGCGACGCCGACGAAGGCGGAGAAGGACGCCGACGCGGTGGTGGCGATCGAGGGGAAACCGGACGTCGACGCGACAGCCGCCGCCGCCGCCGCCGCGGCGGGCGCGGGCGCGGGCGCGGGCGCCGCCGACGCCGCCGCGACGGACGCCCCGGCGGCGGGCGCGACGGATCCGAACATGCAGACGCCGATGGCGACGATCCGCGCGAAGAGCATCTTCCCCGCGACGCCGCCGCCGCCCCCCGGGGTGAGCGTCATCGAGCAGTGGGCGTGCGTGAAACTCCAAGGCGACATCGCGCGGCTGAAAAAAGAAACCATCAAGGAGGCGATGGCGGAGAAGGAAGACGGCGGCAAAGGGAAGAAGGGCAAAGCCGGGAAGGGCAAAGCCGCCGCCGCCGCCGCCGCCGCCGCCGCCGCGAAGAAGGGCGGCGGGCGGTCGTCCCGGCGCGGCCGCGGCGCGAAAGACGACCCGGAGTCAGAGGAGGAGGAGGAGGAGGAGGACGACGACGAAGAGGCGGACCCCCCCGCCGCCGCCGCCGCCCACGCGTCCGCCGCCGCCGCGAACGACGACGCGTCGACGATGCCCCCGCCCCCGCCCGTCTACCTCCCCGGCGGCGTTCCCGATGCGACGCTCGACGCGGAGCTCGACTTCGACGCCGTCGCGCCCCAGACCCCCCCGCGCGTTCTCGACGACCCCCCCCCGCTCGCGTACGACTGCTACGCGTCGCACGCGGAGCGGTGGTGGGCGGCGTCCATCGCCGCCGAGGCGCAAAAGTTTGCCGACTACGAGGTGCGCTTGCGCGACTGGGAGGAGAGCGAGAAGCGGCGCGCGCGCGCGGTCGTCGAGGCGGCGCGCGCGGCGGCGGAGGCGGAGGCGCAACGCGCGCATCAGCACATGCTCAACGAGCGGCGACGAGCGCATCAAGCGATGCTGGCGCAACAGCGCGCGGCGGCGGCGGCGGCGGCGGGCGCCGCCGGGAAGGGCAAGCGCGTCCGCGGCGGGGGCGAAGACGACGACAGCGAGGACGACGATATGACGCTCGCGACGCTGCAGAACAAGGGCGCGGGCGGGTCCGGCGGGAAGAAGCGCAAGGGTGGCGACGTCGACGCCGCGCTCGGCGGGAGGAAAAAGTCGCACAAGAAGCAAAAGAGCGGCCGCGGCGGCGTCGCGAGGCCGTGGTCGCCGACGGAGGACCAGCTCCTGTGCGCCATCGTCCACGAGTTTGGCAGCAACTGGGGGCTCATCACCGACGTCTTCGCCGCGAGCGCGCCGTTCAAGGGCGTGTTTCGACGCGCGGAGCAGTGCCGCTACCGCTTCCAGACGCTGACGCAATCCGCCGAGAGCGACGACCCGAACGCGGTGCGCGCGTTGGACCTCGACAAGACCACCGCGAGGCAGGTGATGCAGCGCGCTTTACCCGTGGAGGACAACACCGCGCGGACGCACTTCGAGCGCGCGGGTCTGTGCGCGGTGAAGCACGCCAAGCTGAGGCGCGCGGCGGCGGCGGAGCGCGCGGGCGACGACTACACGCGTCGCGCCGTCGCGCACGCGAGCTGGGGCGCGCACCGCGGGTTGCGAACGTCGGACCCGTGCGACCTCGCGGATCAGGCGCGTTCTATACACTGGTCCCCATATGACGGCGTTCGCGTGGTGAACGCCGATCCTTAAGGACTTTGCCCGTCGTCTCTCTCCGCTCACCCCTCGCTTTCAATCCCCGACCTCGACGCCTTTCAACTCCACCTGACGCCTTTCAACTCCACCCCGACGTCGCTTTGTATGGACAATTACCTCAGGCGTTGCTGGAGGCGGCGCGCGCGCAGCAGCAGCAGCAGCAGGCGCAGCAGCAGCAGCAGGCGGCGGCGGCGCAGCAGCAGGCGGCGGTTCAGGCGGCGCAGATGGCGGGCGGCGCGGGACCGGGACCGGGCGGCGGCGGCGGCCCCGACGGCGGCGGAGGCGGAGGGCCGATGGACGCCGCGGCGGCGCAGCGGGAGCAGCAGCGGCGGCAGCAGATGCAATCTCAGATGCAGATGCAGCGACAGCAGCAGTACCAGATGCAGATGCAAGCGCAGCAGCAGCAGCAGCAGCAGCAGCAGCAGCAGCGGCAGCAGGCGCACCAGATGCAATCGCAGAATGTGCACATGCAGCAGCAGCAGCAGCAACAGGCGCACATGCAGCAGCAGATGCACATGCAGCAGCAGATGCACATGCAAGCCGCGAACGCCAACAAGGGCGCCGGGGGCGTCAAGGGCGGCGCGAAACCCGCCGGCGCGAATAACCCGCCACCTAACGCGCCTCCTCCGGGCGCGATGCAGGGGACGTTCCAGCCCGTCCCCGGCGCGACGGCGACGATGGAGATGCCGACGATCCCGGGCGGGGCCCCGGCGAGCTCGCCGGGGAGGAAGGGCGCGGGCGGCGGCGGCGGCGGCGGCGCGGCGGGCGCCAAGGGCGGCGGCGCGGGGGGGCCGTCGCCGGGGCTGGCGCCGGGGTCGTACAAGTACGGCGGCGGCGGCGGGGGCGGCGAGAAGGCTGAGCAGCCCGCGGGGAGGGGCGCGAGCACGCGCGGCGCGACGACGCCGCGGGGGAAGGCGTCGAAGAAGTGATGAAGAGGAAGGAGGAACCGCGGAGGGAGGGGCGTCGAATCGAATTAAATGACAGCGTAGAAAATAGTAGAGCACGAACGAACAGAGCGCGCGACTCGGACGGATGGATCTGCGTCGTCGGCGCGCACTTCGTCCGCGCGCGCGGTCGGCGCACGCGAGCGCCGCGACGCGCCCCGCCCTCCGCGTCGTCGTCGCCGTCGCGTCCCCCGCCACCCCGCGCGCGCCGCGTCGTCCGTCGGACGAGGACGGGCGCGAAGGGACGACGCTTGAAAACGTCGAACGTCGGCGTCGTCGTCGTCATGTCGGCCCCCGCCGGCGCGGACGCGTCCTCCTCCCCCTCCCCCCCCCCCTCCTCCTCCTCCTCCTACGTGTGGTCGTTCGGGTTCGGCAGCAACATGAACGTCGCGTTCGTGGAGTCGAAGAAGGGCTACAAGGTGCACGCGCATCGGTGCGCGGTCCTGCGCGGATGGCGACTGACGTTCAACCTGCACGGACCCGACCGCGTGGAGGAGTCGTTCGCGAACGCGCAGCCGTCCGAGGACCCCGCCGACGAGATCCACGGCGTCGCGATCAAGCTCACGGTCGAGGACGCGCTGAAGCTCGACGCGCAGGAGCGCGCGTACCGGAGGGTGGCCGTCGTCGTGCGCGCGTACGACGGGACCGAGATCGAAGCGCACGTCTACTCCAAAGAGCAGGTGCGTTCTGCTGCGCACACTAACAAAAGTTTTTCACCCACCGCTCGGTTTCAACATTTGATCGCTCCCCCTTTCAACTGACCGGTGAACTGTTTTCACCCTCAGCCGCCGGAGAAGCCCGAGCGGCCGTGCTCGGCGAGGTACCTGAACGTCCTCGTCTCCGGCGCGAGGAGCGCGGGGCTGGACGGCGCGTACGTCGAGAGGCTGGCGAAGACGCCGACGTACGCGCCGTCGGCGGCGACGCTCGAGCTGAGAGCGGCGCTGAGGCGCGTCGCGCCGCGGTCGCTTCAAGTGCGTTCTTACAAAAGTTTTTCACCCATCGCATCGCCCGGTTTCAACACTTGATCGCGTCTCCTTTCAACTGACCGGAGAACTATTTTTGTATGGAATGGCCCTCAGCCGATGACGGTCGAGACGCTCGCGGCGTTTCCCAGAGACCGAGACGCCGCCGACTTTGGCTACGTGTCGTGCTTCGGGTACGTCATGAAAGGTGCGCGCGTTCTGTTCTGTTCTTTCATCACCACGCTGGTCCTGGTCTGCCCCCCGCACGGTTTCGGTTCAATCGTCCCGACGCGCCGCGACGCCTCGCGACGACTCCGTCTGATGACGCGCCCCCGACCCTCCCCTCAGTCCCGCGCGCGCAGGTCGTGTTCGGGGGCACGCACCTGGGACGGGACATCACGACGCGCATGAGCCGACAGTGGCGGGGGCTCTCGTTGGACGAGAACGACGACCGTGGGCGCCCGCCGTATCGAACGCCGCGCGCGATGGACGACGACGCGGAGGAGGAGTTCGTTTGGCAGTGGTGCGACCACTACTTAGGGAAGGCTGGGCTAGACGGCGTCGTGGCGTACTTGAGCGAGTACGCAGAGCAGGCGGAGCGGGAGGAGGCGGCGGAGGACGGCGGCGCGTAGGCGCAGCGCGCGGGGATAGACGGCGCCGCGCCGCGCGGGGATAGACGTCGTAGCGACGGCGGCGGCGGGCGCGGGATAGTTGATGACAAATAAATTATCTGTAAATTATCCACTGTCTCGTCGGCATTGAGGGTCGCGCGGCCGCGATGCACCGCGCGTCGTGCGCGTCGACCGCGCCGTCGCGCGCCGCGCCGAGCCGGCTCTCGGCGCGCGCGCCCGCGCGCGCCCTCTGGACGGCCGTTGGCGGCAGGAGCGGTCATCATCGCGACGGGACCGCCGTCGCCGCCGCCGTCGATCGCGACGCGCATTCGCGCTCGGACGCGCGCGCGCGCCTCGCCGCGTCCGAGCGCGCCGCCGCCTCGCGCGACGACGCGACGTCCTCGTCCGCGTCGTCCGCGTCGTCCGCGTCGTCCGCGTCTGAGCCGCGCCCGAGTCGCGCGGCGGCGCATCGCGCGGCGCGACGCGCGAAGCACGAGCGCATCGTCCACGCGGGCGCATCGCGCGCTGAATCGCGTCGCGCCGAGCGGCTCGCGCTCGAGACGGCGTCGCTCGCCGGCGGCGTCGCGCCGCTCCTCGCGCGCGCGCGCGAGCTCGCGTCGGCGTCGGCGTTCCCTAACGCGGCTCCCAGCGAGCGGTCGTCGCTCGAGGTGGCGCTCGCGCTCGCGCGCCACGCGACCGCCGCCGCGGAGACGCGCTCGGACCGCGTCGCCGCGACCGCGACGACGGAAGACATCGCGTCGAGCCTTCGCGCGCGGCTCGTAGAGGACGAGTGGCGCGCGCGCGTCGCCGCGCACGCCGCCACGGACTGGATGCCGTGTAAGGCGAAGCCGCGGCGGCGGCCGAAGGACCGCGAGTGCTACGCGCCCAAGGCGCGGCAGGGGTGGAACCGCGTCGCGATGCGAGAAGAGCGCGTGCGGACGTGCGTGGGGTGCGACCGGATGCTGCCGACGAGAGAGATGATTCGCGTCGCGCGGTTGCTGAAGGCGCCGCGACGCGGCGGCGGCGGTAGTAGTAGTGACGGCGGGGACGGCGACGTCACCGACGACGGCGATGCTACGAGTAGTAGTAGTGAGAAGAGTAACGGTCAAGATGGGGGCGTTTGGAAGGTCAACGGCGAGTCGGATTGGAAAAAGAAGCGGCGGCAGCGTAAAAAAAAGGGGAAAAAAATCAAAGCCGCCGTCGCCGTGGACGCGTCGTCGCTGCGCGACGAGGTGCGTTCTATACACTGGTCCCCATACGACCGCGTCGGCGTGGTGAACGCCGTTTCTTAAGGACTTTTCCCGTCGTCTCTCTCCGCCCAGGGTCCCTCGCTTTCAATCCCCGCCCGCGACGCCTTTCAACTCCGCTTCTGACGCCTTTCAACTCCACCCCGACTTTCGCTCGTACGGAACGACCCCGAGGCGCTGCTGCGAATGGTTCAGCCGGGCGGGGAGGCGCACGCCGCGGTCAGCGGCGACGTCGCCGCGATCGAGACCGCGGACGCGTGCCTGCGGAGGACGCTCGAGCGGGGAGGGAGGGAAGGGGACGCCGCGGACGCGGCGGCGGACGCGGACGCGGTGACAAAAACCAAAACCAAAAGCTCCTCCTTCGAGAAGACGCCCGGGCGTCAGCTCCAAGGCCGCGCCGCGTACGTGTGCCGCCGCGCGTTCTGCGCGAAGAGAGCGACCAAGGAGAAGGCGTTCGTGAGGGGCCTCGCGTGCGCCGACGGCGCGTCGAAGCCGTTCGCGGACGCGCTGATCGCGCTGTGCGTCGCCGCGGAGGCGTCGGACGGCGTCGACAGCGGCGCGTGGGCGTATCGACGGCCGCCGGGGATACCGTCGAGGTGGACGACGCACCCGGGGTTCGTGGACGCGACGACGGGGGAGATGGCGGCGGATGCGGTGGAGAAGAGGGGACTCGTGAGGAAGGCGGCGAGGACGGGGAGGAAGGGTTTGGGGTAGTGCGTTGTCATGTTGTCGCGTCGCGCGCGCGTTCTTCGTTTGTTCGTTCGTTCGCTTCGTCGTCGTTCGCGCCGGTCGTCTCCGAAACCTTCAGACGTCGTCGCGCTTCGGCTTTCTTTTGCGGGCCCCTGGGTTGCACTCTGGACACCCCCTGGGTCTGCCACTCCTCGTGCGGTCCCTCACCACCGCACGCCATTTGTGTGCACACGTGGAACAGTTCCACGTTGCCTTGAAGTGCGACGCTTTCGTAAGCTCCTCGGGCTTTTTCTCCGTGTCGCAAAACTCCTCGAGGAGTCTCTTCCCGCGCTCACCGTTGGCGTTGCACCACGTGATGAAGTTGTCGGACTTGCTTCGCGGTATTTGATTCGCGCACTTCGGACATCCGGTGGGTCTGTCGCTCCTCGTGCGTTTGTTCACCTTCGTCCGCCACTTGTGCCGGCACTTCTCCTCCGCGCACTTCCACAGCGCCTTGTAGTGTGACCCCTTCGTGAACTTACTCGGGTCCTTCTCCCTGCACTCGAGGAGGAGCCTCGCCCCGCGCCGCCCGCTCTCATTGCACCACTCGACGAATGACATACCATATTTATCTTTCCTCGGCCTCGGCATGATCGCCGAGTGAAGCCGTCGACGCGGCGCCGGGGAGAGTGACCAAAAGCTACGACGCTCGCGAACTTTTCCCACGAAAGCGAGAAATAAATCTTCTCGAGGAAAATCTCGTCTCGCGCGAGATTTGACATCCACTGGCGCCCGCTCCCCCGCCTCGGCGCCATGGCGGACGACACCGCCACCCCCGCCGGGGCCGCGTCCGCGACGACCTCGACGCCGAGCGCGGACGCGTCCCCCCGCGCGTCGTCGACGACGACCACCGACGGCGCCACCCCGCGGAGGCAGTCAACCGGCATCTTAAAAATCACCGCCGCGCATCACCCAGCCGCGATGAAGAAGCCCGGCAGCGGTAGCAACTGGGGCGCCGTCCGCACCGCGGTGACCGCGCGCAAGCTCCTCCCGCGCCGCCACTCCAGCGACGGCGGCGGCAGCGACAAGTCGCTCTCGCTGCGGTCCGCGTCGTCGCGGTCCGCGTCGTCGCGACGCCTGCGCAAGTCGTCCTCGCGCGCGGTGAAGGATGCGCACCGAGGCGCGTCCATCAAATCTCGCACCAACCTCGGCTTCTCCGTGAGGTGCGTTCTCCTCACACTGGTTCCCATACGACCGCGTTCGCGTGGTGCACGCCGATCCTTAAGGACTTTACTTCCCGGCGTGTCTCTCCGCTCACACCACGCTTTCAATCCCGACACACCTCGACGCCTTTGAACTCCACCCCTGACGCCTTTGAACTCCGCCCCGACGTCGCTTCGTACGACGGAACGACCCTCATCAGCGCGCTCTACTTCCTCGTCCTCGAGCGGACGTGGGGGTTCTGCGCGTGCGTCATAAGCGGCGTGTTCGGTATCGCGTGGCTAATCTCCGTGGCGTCGTGCGCGGCGATAGGCGGGTACGACGACCCGCACGACAGCGACACGGCGCCGTGGCGGTTCGCCGCGTCGCACGTCTTCACGGTGAGACTGCTTCCCATACGACCCCGTTCGCGTGGTGCACGCCGTTCCTTAAGGACTTTTCCCGTCGTCACTCTTCACCCGCGCTTCCCTTTCAACGTACGTTTGACCGGTAAGACGTTCGACTGACCGATCGCTTCACCCACCCAGATGGGATTCGGCACGGTGTCGCCGCAGAGCGACGCGTCGTACGCGCTCGCGGTGTCGCAGTGCTTCCTCGGCGTCCTCCTCAACGTCTTCATGTTCACGTTCGTCATCACCAAATTCCAGAGGCCGCTCGCGCACGTCGTCCTCGCGGAGAAAGCGTGCGTGTGCACGAGAGGCGGCGAGCTGTTCGTCCTCGTACGCGTCGGCAACCTGCGGTGCAACACGCTGCACAAGGGCGAGGTCACGATGACGCTGCTTCGGCGGAAGCGCACCGCGGAGGGCGAGAGCTTTCTCGATCGCGTCTCGCTGAAAGTGTTCGAGCAGCCGCGGACGCTCACCGCGGTCGCGACGGTGGCGCACAAGGTGGAACGCTCCGGGCCCGGCGCGGTGTTCGAGGACCTATACGGCGGCGGAAAGACCCCGGAGGAGCTCGCGGACTTGCTCCTCCAGGTGGTCGTGACCGCGTACGACCCCATATACGACTCGGACGTGTGCGCGGTGAAGGTGTACACCGCGGAGGACTTCGCGATCGACGCCACGTACGCGGGAGTGATGACCACGGACGACAGGGGCGTCGGCGTCGTGAATTTCGACAAGATCCACGACGTCGAGCCCGTGCTTCGAAAGGTGTTCAAGGCGCGTTCGAATATCACACTGGTCCCCGTGCGACCGCGTCCGCGTCGTGAACTTCATTCCTCGAGGACTTTCTCTCCCCGCGCGCGTTCGTCTCTCTCCGCCCACGCCTCGGTTTCAATCCATCCCGACACGCCTCGACGCCTTTCGACTCCTCCGTCTGACGCGTTTCGACTTCAAAACTTCAAACCAGGCGGAGGGCGGGAGCTGGGCGTCGCCGGACCTGACCAAGGCGCCGCGAAGGCTCGAGATCGTCTTCGGCGGCGGCCGCGCGTCCTACGGCGACGCGGACGAGACGTTCCCGGGGCTAGGCCAAATCACCGCGATGGAGCAGACGTGCGCGTACTGTTATAAGCTCGCGTTGCTGGTGGGCGAGGCGGGGATCGAGTACACGCCGCACATCGCGAACATCTCCTTGGGCGCGTCCTAGCTAGTATTACACCGGTCCCCATACGACCGCGTTCGCGTGGTGCACGCCGTTCCTTAAGGACTTCGCTCGGCGTTTCTCTCGCCCCACCCCTCGCCTTTCGACTCCGTCTGACGCCTTTCAACTCCCCAAACCAAACCAGGCGACCCCAAGCCCGAGTGGCTCGAGAAGGTTAACCCGAAGAAGGAGACCCCCGCGGCGCGTCTCCCCGGGAGAGTCGAGTGGATAGCGGGGACGGACGCCATCATCGACGCGCTGCGAGACGCGGACGACGGCTTCGCGGAGGTGATGCGTCGGAAGCGCGCGGACGTCACGGCGGCGGACGAGAAGCTCCTGAAGAGCGTGATCTACGTGTGGATCGCGGGGTGTTGCTGCGGGCCGGAGACGAGCTTGAAGGAAGCGGTCGCCGCGGGGGGGATCGTCGCGTGGTGTTTGGGAGAGGCGGCGCTCGTGGACGCGGACGTGATGGCGGCGATCAAGCGCGAGGTGGAGGTGGAGAAGGAGGAGGCGGAGCGCGCGAAGAAGAGGGCGGAGGAGGAGGCGGCGGCGAAGGCGAAGGCGAGGGCGGACGCGGACGCGGGGGGAGAGGAAGAAAAGGAAGAAAAGGCGGGCGCCGCCGCCGCCGCCGCCGAGGACGTCGAGCTCGAGGACGAGGCGCCTTCGCCGCCGCCTAAACCGCCGCCGTCCGCCGGGGACGGCCTTCCGACGGTGCGCGTCCTCGCGAACGCGAAGATCGCCAAGATGTTCGCGACGCTCGAACGCCTCGTCTCGTCGCCGCCGTCGTCGTCGGCGGCGGCGGACGCCTCGGACGACGCGTCCTCCTCCTCCTCCTCCTCCTCCTCGCGGCTGTTCCTGTGCGGCGATAAACCCGGGCAGCTAGATTTCTACTGCGCGGCGGACGTCTTCTTGCTCTTCGACGACGCGGGCGCGAAGTTCCTCGCCGCGTCCGGCATCACCGCGCGACCCGGCGGCGCCGCGGAGCGGTGGTACGCTCGCATGCGAGCCGTCGACCACTTCAGGTGCGTTCTCCTTTACACTGGTTCCCATACGACCCCGTCGGCGTGGTGAACGCCGATCCTTAAGGACTTTTGCCGTCGTCTCTCTCCTCCCAGGGTCCCTCGCTTTCAATCCCGACACACCTCGACGCCTTTCAACTCCGCTTCTGACGCCATTAAACTCCGCCCCGACGTTCGCTCGTACGGAACGACCCTCAGGAGCGGCCTCGGCGCGGGGAACAGCGACGGCGCGGTCGCGTCCAACCGGACCATCTTCGCGAAGATGATCGCGTGGAACCCGTTGGGGTTCCCGAAGCGCGAGGACTGCGAACGGTGCCTGGTGGCGATGCGACGGAAGCACCCGGCGGCGGCGCATCCGGACCGCGGCGGCGGCGGCGGCGGCGGCGACGGCGAAGCCGCGGCGGGGGACGACGCCGTCGGCGGCGGCGCGGGCGGCGGCGGGGCGATGACGCGGACGGACAACGCGCTCGCGAAGCTGTGCGTGTGATGAGCGCTTGGATTGATTCGTCTTGTTAGTGAGCGCTTCGCGGCGGGCGTAGACTGACGCGAGCGGCCGAACGCGTCGACCGAGTGATGAATGAAACACCTTCACTGAGAAATTATTCGCGAGTGCCAGGCACTGCCTGCTGCTGCTGCTGCGCCCCTTGCGGTTACACATTTTTTTGGATCGTTGCGACGCCGGCATTGCTGAGGGGCGCGCGCACGCCGCGACGCGACCGCGGCGCGGGCGCCGACCGCGCGACCGCGGCGAGGGCGGCGTCTCGACGCGAAGGCGCGCGACCGCGCGTCGCGCGAGCCGGCCGGCGATCGGCGATCGCCCCCCATCCTGTCACCGCTCCCGGGGACGACTTACGCGATCGATGGCGCGAACCGCGCGAATCGCGACGAATCGCGACGCGGCGCGCGTCGACGAGCCCGACTACGGCGCGCTCGAGGCGGGCCATCGCCTCGCTCCGCGGCGGCGCGACGCCGGCGGGTTCAAGCGTGGCGCCGGGAGGGGAATCGGCGCGGTGCCGTGCGTTGGCCTCCTGATCGCGGTCGCGCTCCTCGGCGCGCTCGCGGGCGGCATCGTCGCGGTGATCGAGCGCGCCGAGGAGGTGTACACGTTTCAGGTGCGTTCGTTCTATACACTGGTTCCCATACGACCGCGTCGGCGTGGTGAACGCCGATCCTTAAGGAGTTTTGCCGTCGTCTCTCTCCGCCCACACCTCGCTTTCAATCCCGACACACCTCGACGCCTTTCAACGCCAACTGACGCCTTTCAACTCCACCCCGCCGTCGCTTCGTATGGAACGGCCCTCAGCTCGACACGACGTGCATCCCGACGCGCGTCAAGTACCTCATGTACCAGCGCGGCGCGTACGACGGCACGAAGGACGTCGTCAAGCGCGCGTCGCTCTCGCCGCACGGCAAGCCGGTCGTCGCGATGACGGAGCGCGCGGACGAGCCGGGGGTGTGGGAGGCGCGGACGCGGATCAAGGCGTCCGAGTGGGGGGATCGCAAGTACACGTTCGCGGTGTCGTACGGGCGCGAAAGCGACGCGGACCCCGCGGCGTGGAAGACGCACGGCGAGGGCGGGTACGACGGCGGGGAGAGCGTGGCGAGCACGTACGACGCGGCGCTGAACGACGCCGCGCTGCGGTGCGCGGATTCGGACGCGGGGGACGGGGTGTGGGTGAGGGACGCGTACGACGACGACGCGATGAAGTCTGCGGGGACGATACGGAGGTACGTGTTCGGGAGCTGCGCGAGCGCGTGCGCGGACGTGGAGGCGTGGAGCGGGTTGGAGGCGTTCGAGGAGGCGAACTGTCCGAGCAACCCCGCGTGCAGCGCGTACACGGGGTGAGGGGGATCGGCGGAGGAGGGGGGGTGGTGATCGTAGCGTTTTAGATTTGGTATCGCAGCGGGGCTGAAAGCCGCGTCTCTTCACGCGTCGGGCGCGTCCTTCTTACGTAGACGGTCGCACCCAGGGCACCCGGCGGGTCTGACGCTTCTCGTGCGGCTCGCCACCGTCGCACTCCACTCGTGCTTGCACCTCTTATGTAGACACTTCCACAGCGCCTTGTAGTCCGACGACTTCGTAAGCTCCTCGGGCTTTTTCTCCGTATCGCAAAACTCCTCGAGGAGTCTCTTCCCGCGCTCACCGTTGGCGTCGCACCACGTGAGGAAGTTGTTGGTCTTGCTGTGCGGCATTCTATTCGCGCACTTCGGGCATCCCCTGGGTTTGACGCTCTTCGTGCGGTCGCTCACCTGCGCCCGCCACTTGTGCCGGCACTTCTCCTCCGCGCACTTCCACAGCGCCTTGTCGTGTGACGCCTTCGTGAGCTTGCTCGGGTCCTTCTCCCTGCACTCGAGAAGGAGCCTCGCCCCGCGCTGCCCGTTCTCATTGCACCACTCGACGAACGACTTTCCTGAGCTTTTCGGGCGCCCCATGATCGCCGCCGTCGAGAGCGCGCGCGCGCGGGGAAGAGTGCGACCCTCGCCGCGGAGAAAAAGCCACGACGGAAAGCCACGACGAAGAAACCAAAACTTTCACCGCGGCCGACCTCCCCCTCCGCTCTCACACCGCGCCGCGCCCCCGCGCCGTCGCATCGTTCTCTCGCCCCCATCCCCCCCTTCATCCGCTCCCCGATGCTGCTCGCCGCGTCGCTCGCGTCGCGCGCGGCGCCGATACGCCCCCGCGCGCGTCTTCCGCGCGCGCGCGTCGTCCGAGCGGCTTCCCTCGGACGGAACGACGCTTCCCCCGGCGCGCCGCGCCCCCCCTCCTCCTCCTCCTCCGCCGCCGCCCGCCGCGTCGCGGCGTCGCGCCGCGCCGCGTGGAAGGGCTTCTTCTCGCTGTCCATCGACGAGGACGACGACGACGGCGGCGGCGGCGGCGGCGCCTCGACGACGACGACGACCAAGGAAAAAGAGGCGACGACCGCCGACGCGGAGGCGGAGGAGGAAGAGGACGACCTCGAAGAAGCTCCCCAGTCGTCGTCGTCGTCGCTCGCGTCGCCGCCTCCCTCCCCGGACGACTCCATGTCCGACGACGAAGCAATCGCGGTCCTCGAGGACGTCATGCGCGCGCGCATGTCCCCCGCGGCCGCGCGCGTCATCGCGCGCGGCTTCGAAGACATCGGCGTGGACACACCCGCGAAGCTCAGAAAGCTGATTCTGTCGCGTTCCTTCGGGATCATCGCGCTCGAGTGTATCGCGCTGCTCGTGAACGGCGTCGCGGCGTTCGGCGCGCTGCAGTGCTTTCTCCTCGCGGACGCGGGCGCGTTCTTTCCCGCGTCGAACGTAGTGGCGACGATCGCGGCGGAGGCGTCGTTCGCGCTCGTTTTCTCGGTGTTCGCGGTGGAGAGCTTCGCTCGGTTTTTGGTCCTGGGGTCCTTCGTCGCGTCCGCGGCGTTCTTCGGGTGCGTTCTTCGGGCGCTCACGATAACGCACCACGTGTGACCGTTTATTTGATTTATGGTTTAACGCCGCTTTCAAATCGTTTGATCGTGTTAATAAACGACCGCACCGCACGCATCTCTGTTGTCATCACCGCGGACGCACGCGCAGGACGACCAACTTAAACTCGTTCGTGGACGCCATGCGGCACCTGTCGCGATCCAAAAAGGGCGACGCGTTCGCGCACGGCCGCTTCGGATCCGTCTCCGACGCCGCGAGCGCGTTCGAAGTCGTCGGCGAGCTCATGAAGATCCGCGACCTCATCGCGGAGGAGAGGATGACGCTCGGCGACGCGGAGCTAGGAGGAGATCTCCCCATGGCGAAGAAGCTCGCGGGGCTGTTCGAGCTCACGCGCGCGAGCGAGGCGGGGTTCGACCCGGAAAAGTACGGCCTCGACGACGACGCGGCGCTGCGAATCGCCGCGGAGTTTGGACGGTGAGACTACGCCGGACTGCTTCCCATACGACCATTTTCCCGTCGGTCGTTTCGCGCTTCACCCGCGCCTCCCTTTCAACGCACGTTACCTTTGACCGGTACGACGCGCGACTGACCGACGGCGCCTCCCTTTCGACGAGCCCGCCCGCCAGGTTCGACGCCGACGGCGACGGCGTGATAAACCGCGACGAGCTCGAGCGCCTCCTGGACGAGTTCGGGACGGCGCGACACGCGAGCGCGACGCGGATCATCGAGGAGGACAGCGCGGAGACGTTCGAGGCGGAGATGTTCAAGCCGCTGATCGATTACCCTTCGGTCTACGCCACCCCGGAAGGGGTGAAGACGGCGATGGAGATGATCGACGGCGACGGCGGCGGCGAGATATCGCTCGAGGAGTTCGTGCAGTGGTACGCGAGAGAGTGCCCGCTGCCGCCGCGGGGCGGGAAGAAGAAGAAGAAGAAGAAGAGTACAAATAACGTCGTGACGATCGACATCGACGACGTCGACGACGACGCCGCCGTGGACGAAGACGGGGACCGGAGGCTGCTGGAGGCGGCGGCAGCGGCGGACGCCGAGCTCTCCGCCGCCGGCGCGGTGCGTTCTCCTCACACTGGTTCCCATACGACCGCGTTGGCGTGGTGAACGCCGATCCTTAAGGACTTTTCCCGGCGCATCTCTCCGCCCACACCTCGCTTTCAATCCCCGCCCTCGATGCCTTTCAACTCCAACTGACGCCTTTCAACTTCGGCGTCCGATGAAAAATCATCGAAGTCCTTCTTCTCGGAGAAGGAGGAGGAGGGAGAGGTCGAGGAGGCGTCCGAGGCGGCGGTCGAGGCGGCGACGCTCGCGGATCAGCTCGCGCACGGCGTGGACTGAGACGAGAAGACGACCACGGGCCGGCGAATCGCACGACGTGCGGACCGAGGCGGGCATTTCGCGTTTCGCGTTTAACGTTTACGTTTGTCGTTTCCATTCCACGCTGGACCGCTCGCGCGCGACCAAACCCCCCGTCCGTCACAGCTTTCACAGCTCTAGCCTCCCGTCCACACCCCCCAGCAGTGGCTCCAAGTCCAACTCCAGCACCGAGCACGGGTTCACGATGTCAAACTTGCTAAGCACGTCCGGGTGCACGATCCCGAAGATCCCGACCTCCTTCCCACCGACCACCACCTTCGCCTGTCTCCCCGGAAAGTACGTCGCCTCATCGCTCTCCTTCACGCTGTACCCGGGTTGATCGACGCTTCTCGACGCGCCCGCGATCAACAGCACGCGGTCGAGCACGCCGTGAACCACCTCGAAACCAGCCTTCGCGTTCGAGTACAGCACGAGCAGCCGTCTGGAGTTTCGCGCGCCGACGTCTTCGGAGTCGTCGAGGAGCACCACGTCGCCCACTTCGAACAGCTTCGCCGGCAGCGGCGCGTCCTTGTTCGCCCCCATGGCTTTCAACACCCCGGGCAGCAGCGACGAGCGCACGACCTGGACGTCCGTGCTGGACGGGTTCGCGACGATCGCGCCCGACTTCCCGTCGTCCTCGCGCATCACGTTCGCGTAGTTGTCGTCGTGCGAGCACAGAATCCACGTCAACGCCTCGCTGAATCCCATCGCCGCGACTTCGTTTCGAATCAAGTCGCTGAAGTGGTTCAGCGGCTGCTGCGCGCCGACCGTCGCCATCTTCGGAATCGTCCGCTTGATGTTGTTGTACCCGTACGCGATCGCGACGTCCTCCGCGATGTCGCACGGATGCAACACGTCCGACCGCGTCGGCGGCACCTCCACGCGAAGCGTCTCGCCGTCGTCGCTTACCTTGGTCGCCAACTGCATCCGGCACAGCAGCGCCGCCATCGTCTTCGCGTCGATATCCACGCCGATGCGCTGATTAACGTACTTCGGGTCAACCTCCACGAACCGCGTCATGAAGTCCGGGTACGTCTTCTCCGATCCGAGCGCGTCGACGACGTCCACGGGCTCCACGGCGAACGGCGTGGAGGAGTGTCTTTCGCGCCATACAAAGCGATGTCGGGATGGAGTTCAAAGGCGTCAGATGGAGTTGAAAGGCGTCGTGGGCGGGGATTGAAAGCGAGGGGTGGGCGGAGAGAGATGACGGCAAAAGTCCTTAAGGATCGGCGTTCACCACGCCAACGCGGTCGTATGGGGACCAGTGTATAGAACGCACTCGCTGAACATCGCGACGACAGTGTTGAGGACAATCTTCGCCTTGTTCAGATCCGTCGCCGTGCACTCGATGAAGACGTCGCGCGTGTCCAGCGTGATGGCGCTCTTCGCGCCGTTGATGATCGGCGGGAGCGACAGCACGGTCCGGTCCGCGTCGTAGATCACCGGGAACACGACGGAGCCGTCGAGAATGTGAAGGAAGTGTTTCAGCTTGTTGTCCGACTCGTAGTGCTCCATCAGCTCGTCCGCGCGGAACTCTCGCGTCTGCTTCAGCGGCGTGAACGCGATGTCTTCCGGCGGGAGCGCCTCGTACGTGAACGGCCCGCGGATCGTCGCGAGGTCGTGCGTCCCGATCGCGACGAGCGTGCGCCTCCGGCAGATGTTTTGATGCAGTTTGTCCTGGAGGTCGATGAACGAGTCGTAGCGCGCCTTGTCGAACTTCACGCCTCGCAGCACCGCGCAGACGACGAACGGCCTCACGAGCATCGTCTCCGGTCGCTGGATCATCTTCTGCCTCGGCGCGCCGTTCGGCGGCTCCACGAGGCGGAACACCGGGCTCGGGGTCACGCCGCGGAAGACGTTGAGCGCGCGCGCGATGCCCTCGAGGCAGAGGAGGTCGTACCGGTTGGCGGGGATGTCGATCTTGTAGATGACCTCGTCGTCCTCCGGCGCGCCGCCACTCCCGCCGCCGGTTCGATCCCCGCCGCTGTCGCCGCCTATTCCGCCGCCGCCCTCCCCCGCGCCAAAGAACTTGGACGCCATCTGCTTCTCGGACGTCACCTCGTCGAGCTCGATCCCGAACTCGAAGCACAGCTCGTCGAACTCCGCCTCGGTGTACGTCTTGCCGAGCGCGGCGAAGAGCTGATCGCGCTTCAGGTTGACGGTCGGCATCGCGCCGGGTCAGTCGCGCGTCCCGGACGTCTTCTTCCTCTCTTCCTCTCCGGTTGAGCCGCGAGCGAGCGCGCGCGCCTGGGCGCCGCCGATCGGTGTGCGGACGGCGCGGTGTGATGCGATGACGGCGGCGAGCCGATCGCGAAAAGGGCAGGGTTTTATCGATCGATCTTTTTTTCGACCGGTCGGCGGCTCGCGCGCGCGAGCAGCGAGCGCCTAAACTTTTTATGCGTCCACACTATCGTTCGCTATCTATCTACGGTCGCCGCCGCCGCCGCCGACGCCGCCGCCGCCGCGGACCTCTATCGTCTTCTTCTTCTCCTCCTCCTCCTCCTCCGTCGCCGTCGCGGCGCTCGCGGTGTACCGCCGCATCCTCACCCTGGTGGTAGGATCCTTAGGGCCGTTCCATACGAGCGAACGTCGGGGTGGAGTTCAAAGGCGTCAGAAGCGGAATTGAAAGGCGTCGATGGCGGGGATTGAAAGCGAGGGGTGGGTGAAGAGATGCGCCGGGGAAAGTCCTTAAGAAACGGCGTTCACCACGCGAACGCGGTCGTATGGGGACCAGTGTATAGAACGCGCCTTCGCCTCTCTCGCGAGCGTCCAACCGAACTCGGGCGGAATGTGCGGGTTCTTGTGCGGCGTCAGCACGATCAGCTCTGCGACGTGGACGCGCGCGGACGAACGATCGGTCAGTGCATCGATGACGTATCGAATCTCGAATCAAAACTCCTTAAGGATCGGCGTTCACGACGCGAACGCGGTCGTGTGGGGACCAGTGTGATAACAACGGGGACGCGCTCACCGTCCGTCGCCGCCGCGAGCGCGGCGCACAGCAGCCGCAAGTACGACGGCGGACACAGATGCATCGCGAAGCTGCACACGACGACGCGCCACCGCCTCCCCTCCAGGACGCCCCCGCACGCGATGTCTTCGAAACTCCACGGGTAGAACGGAACGGCGGCGCCGACGCGGCGCGCGAAAGCCTCGGACGTGTACGGGTCGCACGCGTCGACGCGGTGGACTGGTCAAGTGTTCATCATCGGTCAGTTGAAAGGGGACGCGATCAAGTGTTGAAACCGGGCGATGGGTGAAATACAGTACGTTCTTTCGCAAAATGTAGCAGAACGCACCCGAGACGCCGGCGTCGCGGAGCGCGAGGGTGACCTCGCCGCTGCCGCAGGAGAGGTCCAGGATCCTGTCGGACGAAACGGAAACGCTCGCGGTTTCGGCGTTACTTTCCCCATCATCCGCAGCGAGAGCGTCGTCGTCGCCGCCGCCGCGCGGCGCCCACAGCGTCGGCCACGCCTCCACCGCCGCGCGGAGCATCTCGCGCACGCCGGGCTCGTGCGGATTAGCGTACGACGCGCCCGCGTCGCGATAGTGCCCGGCCGCGCCGTCGACGTGCGACGCGTACGCGTTGCGAACGCCGGCGGGGCCGCTCGGCGCGGGAGGACGCCGCGACGACATGAACACGACGACGACGACGAGCGGACGACCACCCCCGCGCGCGGGGAGAAGTGACGAGGGGCGGGCGAGTGCGACGGGATCGATCTTCCTCTCCTCTCTCGGAGGTGCCTACTACCAGACTTTCGTAACTAACCCTACCAGGTCTAAGGTAAACGCTAGATATCAAATCGCTACTCGTCCCCGATTGCGATCCCGTGCTTCGTCGCCCATCGAACCAAGTAGTCCGCGAGCTCGAACCGTCCCTCGTTCACCGCGTGGTCGATCGCGTTCAAGCCGTCGACGTTCTTCGCGTTGAGCTCGCACCCGGCTCTCGCGAGCGCCTTGACCGCGGGTGGAGTTGAAAGGCGTCAGAAGCGGAGTTGAAAGGCGTCAGAGGCGGAGTTGAAAGGCGTCGAGGGCGGGTATTGAAAGCGAGGTGTGGACGGAGAGATGCGCCGGGAAAAGTCCTTAAGGATCGGCGTTCTCCACGCGAACGGGGTCGTATGGGGACCAGTGTGAAGATAGAACTCGCCTTGACCGCCCTCGTCCGGCCGAGAAGGCACGCGAGCGAGAGTAACGCGTCGCCGCGCTCGTCGCGCGCGGCGAGGAGGAGGCCGCGGCGAGGCCCGCGGAGGAGCGACGCGAAGGCGGCGTCGTCGCCGTCGCGGAGAGCGGCGGCCGCGGCGAACACGACGGACGCGTTCTCGTCGGCGGTGGCGGCGGCGTTTTGGTTTTCGATTCNCGCCGCCGCCGCCACCGCCTCCGCCGCGCGTCGCGCGTCGCGGCGTCGCTTCCACTCCGGGACCGGCGCGTCGTCGTCCTCTTCCGCGGCGGCCGATCGCGATCGCGCGTCCTCCTCCAGCGCGCGCGCGCGGCGTTCTTTCCGTCGTTTCCACTCCGGCGTGCCTCTGTACGTCCTCGCGACCTCCGCCTCCGCCGCCGCGCGCGCTTCCTCGCCGACGAGATGACGATACGAACCGTCGTCTCGGCAGGGACGCGAACGGTCGCCGCCGCCGCCGCCGCCGCCGCCTACGCCCTCGACCGACCACTCGAGCGCGAGCGACGCGAGCCGCGCGTCGACGCGTTCGCGCCGCCGCCGCAAGTCGTCGAGCGCGGCGTCCACTCCGTCGTCGTCGTCGTCGTCGTCGTCGTCGTCGTCGTCGTCGTCGTCGTCGTCGTCGTCGTCGTCGTCGTCGTCGTCGCGCCGCCGTCCCCGCGTCTCCGCGCCGCCGTCGCCCTCCGCTCTCGCCGCCGCGCCCCCCACCACGCCGCCGTACTCGCCGCCGCCCGTGGCCTCCTCGAATTTCCTCCGCTGCGCGCGGAGCTCGTCCACCGCGGCGCGCATCTCGTCGCGCTCCCTCGCCATCTCGCGCGCGACGTCCTCGGACGCGGCGGCGACGTCGCGGAGCTCTCTCCGTTGCCTCGCGCGCGCTTCGAACCGCGCGACGGCCGCCTCCATCCCGTCGAGATCCTCGTCGCTGCTGTCGACGTCGTACGCGTCGTCGTTCTCGGGGAGGTGGAGCGGCTCCGCGCTGCCTCCCATCGCGGCGAACGAGATCTTGCTGAGGTCGAGGCGGCCCATCCGAGGCCCGTCCTCGCCGCCGTCGTCGCCGCCGCCGCCGCCGCCGCCGCCGCCGCCGCCGAGGGAGAGGCTGAACTTCTTCGACGGCACGCCCACTGTCGGCCCGCGCGCGGGGAACGCGGACGTCATGACGCGACGCCGTCGCGCGCGCCGAGGAGTGCGGCGAGAACGAACGGGAGAAGGTGCCGACATCGCATCGACGGCGATGACTTTCAACGGCGAAAAAGTCATCATCTCGACGACCGCCACTGCGCGCGGCGCGGCGCGGCCGGGGCGGGGCGGGGATGGCGACCGCGAGCGAAGCGGACAAGCTCGCCGCGGCCACGGCGCGGTGCGTCGACGCGACGCGCGCGTGGCGGGACGCGTTCGGCGACGACGGCGTCGCCGCCGCGGTCGGGGCGTCGCGGCCGACGACGAGGGACGACGACGCGCGAGACGACGACGACGACGACGCGAGGCTTCGCGCCGCGACGTCGCGCGTGGCGCGCGACGCCGCGCCGTTCGCGCTCGCCATCGAGCGCCACTTCGCGGCGCGCGCGACAGAAGAGGAAGACGACGAAGAACACCGCGGCGACCGCGGCGGGATAGTCGTCGTCGAGGCGTGCGCGCCGTCGTCGTCACGCGGGCACGCCCTCGGCCTCGTCCTCGCGTCGGCGCTTCCGAGATGGCTCGTCCGCGAGGTCGTCCTCGTGGACGCGCGTTGGCCGTCGTCGGACGCGAAGAAGGAGATGAAGACGAACGATACGATGAAGAAGAAGAAGAAGAAGAAGAACTTCGCCGACGAGGTGCCGACGTCGCACGTGGACGCGTTCGCGGCGTCGCACCCGCGCGCGGCGCCCGTCTCGCGATGGCGCGGGAACCTCCGAAACGCGTCGCATCTCCGATCGCTCCGCGACGCGCTCGCGAACGCCCTCTCAACGAAAGCCGACGACGACGCCGCGCGCGGCGTCGCGTTCGTCTGCGCGCGCGCGGACGGGCTCGACGCGCTGCGCCTCGCGCAGCTCTTCCACGCGACGGTTGACGTTTCAGATTCCGCGCGCGCGATGCTCGCGATGGCGGTGGGGGAGCCGCCGGACCTCGTCGCGGGCGCGCGCGGGAAAGTCGCGTACCGCGCGGGGGAGAGTCATCTCTTCTCCGCGCGCGAGCTGTCGCTGTCGCGTTTGAACTTGAACGACGACGACGACGGCGGCGGCGGTCAGAGAAAGGAGGAGGACGCGGCGCGCGGCGCGAGGAGGGCGTTCGCGGCGCACGTGCGGCGCGGGCTGACGACGCGCGACGGCGTCGAAGAGACGTTCGTCGTCCGACGACCAGGCGCGTTCTATACACTGGTCCCCATACGACCGCGTCGGCGTGGTGAACGCCGATCCTTAAGGACTTTTCCCGTCGTCATTTCTGTGCCCACACCTCGCTTTCAATACCCGCCCTCGGCGCCTTTCAACTTCAACTGACGCCTTTCAACTCCACCCCGACGTTCGCTCGTATGGAATTGCCCTCAGACGACGACGACGACGACGACGCGACGACGCTCGTCGCGGCGGCGAGCGACGGCGCGCGCCGCGCGCCGCGTTTCGATCGGACGACGTCGCCGTTCGGTCCGGTCGTCCTCTCCGTGACCGACCAGATGGCGCTCGTGTGCGGTATCGCGCACGCGCGTCTCGTCCGCGCGGGGACGGCGCGCGACGACGACGACGGCGACGACGACGACGACGAGAAAAACGCGTCCTCGATACTTCTCGTGAGAAGCACCCCGGCGCGTTGGATCACGGGCGGGTACGCGGCGCACCACTACGTCCCCGAACCCCCGCAGCCGCACGGGCTGTGCTACGAGGCGTCGATGGCGATCGGCGGCGGTTTAGGCGGCGAGGGGGTCCCGAACGCGTCGAGACGGCGGCGCGCGCGCGTCGGTTACATCGCCGTCAGGCGCGTTCTAGTATCGCACTGGTCCCCATACGACCGCGTTCGCGTGGTGAACGCCGATCCTTAAGGACTTTGCCCGGCGTGTCTCTCCGTCGCTCTCGTCCAATAAAACATCCACGTCATCAAATAACTAACCAATCACATCACTTCCCGCCACATCACCCACCAATCAAACGACCCTCAGTCCGTACGGCGCGGACGACGCGGCGACGCGCGCGGAGCCGCTCTTCTCCGTCGCCGGCACTGGTATCGGCAGACCCACCGTCGCCGCGCAGATCGACCGCCTCTGCGTCCCGCCGTCCTTTCGCGGCGCTGAGTACGGCGTGAAAGAGGCGCTGCTCCGCGCGTGCGACGGGTTCACCGCGCAGGGGCTGCCGGTGCGGGTGAAGGTGAGAGACTGGTTCCCATACGACCGCGTCGGCGCGGTGAACGCCGTTCCTTAAGGACAGGACTTCTTTCCCTCGGGTTCCTTTCACGCAGGGTCCCTTTCGATCCCGCCCGACCGGCGAGACGTTCTTCGACTGACCGACGCGTCTCCGATCGATCCTTCCCGTCCGCGCTTTCACCCTTTCAACCCTTTCAAGACGGCGAGCGAGTCCGCCAAGGCGAGTTTCGATCGATGCGCGCTGCTGTCGTACGAAGGGTTCAAGGACCCGTCGAGGGCGGGCGTGAGCAAGGCGCGCGGGGTGCGGCGGGTGGCGATCGTGCGAGAAGAAGACGCGGCGGTCGACGTTGACGTTTCGTCTTCTCCACCAAACGTTGTCGCGGAAGATGGAACGTCGACGACGACCGTCGCGGCGGCGGACGCCGACGCGAGAGATTACTCGCGCGCGGGCTGGCGCGCGCGGCGGAAAACGGGAGAAGACGAAACGTCGACCGTCGCGCCGCCGCCGCCGCCCCAGGTCGGAAGCGTCGCGTGGGTCGCGCGCGAGACGCGCGCGATCCTCAACCGCGTCGCGCCGGACACGGTCGAGAAGTCGATCGTGCGGTTGAAAGCGACGCTCGACGAAGCGCGGCGCGGTGAGAGCGACGAATCGTTTCGCGACGCGTGCGACGCCGCCGGCGCGCTCGTCGCCGCGAGAGCGACGCGCGAGCCGCGATACGCGCGCGCTCACGCGTCGATGATGACCGCGTCGCCGCCACTGCCGGGCGAGCTTCGAGACGCGGCGGTCCGCGCGGCGATGCGGACGTTCGAGGCGCCGAGGAGGTGAGACTGCTTCCCATACGACCCCGTTCGCGTGGCGCGCGCCGTTCCTTAAGGACTTTTCCCGTCGTCACTCTTCACCCGCGCTTCCCTTTCAACGTACGTTTGACCGGTAAGACGTTCGACTGACCGATCGCTTCACCCACGCAGGACCTCCGCGGACGCCGCGGCTTTCGTCCTCGAGCTTCTCGCGTTTGGCGCGGCGTCGCCGGCGGCGGTCGCGGACGCGGTCTGCGCGCTGTTGGCGCACGTGGAAGACGAAACGTCGTCGACCGCCGCGCTCGCGGAAGATGAAACGACGTCGTCCGTCGCGCCGCCGCCGGCGTCGGCCGCGGGCGCGTTTCGCGCGGCGTGCGCGGCGATCGACCGCGTGGAACTCTTCCGCGACGCGCTCGCGGCGGCGGCGGCTTCGAGACGGGGGCTCGTCGTCGCGCGCGTCTTATCGTCCGTCGCGGCGTCGGCGTCGGGACGGGGCCTCGGCGCGCGCGCGCGGTTTCTCGCGGAGCGCGCGTCGGCGCGCGTCGAGACGGGCGGCGGCGGCGGTTGCGGCGCGACGATTGACGTTTCGTCTTCTCTCGCGGCGGTTGACGTTTCGTCTTCTCGCTCGTCCGACGCGAACTTCGCCGCGCGGAGCGGGGACGTCCGCGCCGCCGCCGCGAAGGCGCTTCGTCTCGACCTCGTTCGCGAGGGCACTCCCGAGGCGGTCGCGCGCGGGACGCGGCGCGGGTGGGTGTTTTGGTACGTCGGGTCCCCGGTCGTCGTCGGGACGCGACGGTTCGTATTCGACCCGCGACGGTTCGCGTCCGACGGCGAGCGCTTCGCCGAGCTCGCGGACGACGAGCAGAGGAGTACGTAGCTAGTCACCTTCGAAGGTACGGAAGTACTTAAACGCTAGTCTAGGCTAAAGTAACGCGTTAGAGACACCTAAAAGTTGCAGCCGCGGAGGGAGAACATCATCACGGTGTTGTCCACGACTTCGGCGTACACGTATCGCGCGGCGCTCTTTTTCCCGCGGCGTCGTTCCTCGCCCTCGTCGCCGTCGCCGTCGCCACGCGGCGTCTTCTTGTCCGACTTCTTGTCCGACAAGTCTGCGAACGCCGTCTCCGTCAGCGCCGCGTCCGCCGCCGCGTCGCTCGCGTCCGGGGCGACGCCGTCGTTCCAACGCCCGCGCCCGATCCCGTGCCCGACGACGACGCCGTCGTCGCTGTGATACACGAAAAACGCCACCGCGTCGGGGTCGCGTTTGGAGAAGTCCTTGGGTTTGAAGTCCGTCGTTCAAAGCGACGCCGGGGTGGAGTTGAAAGGCGTCAGAAGCGGAGTTGAAAGGCGTCGAGGGGTGGGCGGAGCGAAACGAACGCCGGGAGAGAAAGTCCTAATTAAGGAATGAAGTTCACGACGCGAACGCGGTCGCATGGGAACCGGCGCGACGTAGGACGCGCCTTATTCGGAAAGTACACCGCGTACAGCGGGAGCGTCCCGGTCCCCGTCCTCGCGGCGGTCCCGGGCGTCGCGAGCGCGTTCGCAGCGCCGCCGCCGGCCGCCGCCGCCGCTTTCGACGCCTTCGACGCGCGCGCCGCCGCGGCGACCACCGCCGCGGACGTCGCCGGCAGCCACGAGTGATTCGCCGAACCCGCCGCGGGCCACCATCGAGAGTTGGCCGCCGCCGCCGCCGCCGCCGCCTCGCTCGAAGGTTCGGCGGGTTCTTCCGAGGGGTTCGATGGGGTGCCGACGTCGACGTCGACGTCGACGCCTTCCTCGGGTGCCGAGGGTGCCGAGAGAGGGTGCCGAGCGCGCCGCCGCCGGCCGCGAACATCCCACGCGCCCTCGCCCATCATCCACGCGTGATCGACGTCGCGCTCTCGCCCGCTCCACTCGTCGCGCTCGTCGTCTGTCGCTGTCGTTTTTGAATTCAAACCGCCTTCGCCGCCGCGGTCTCTCGCCGCGTCCGACGCGGTGTCGCGGTTCCACGTCCACGGCGAGTTGAACCGCCGCACGATGTACCCCATCCTCGCGAGGTGCGCGAAGACGAGATACCGCGACGGCGTCAGCGGATTCGGAATCGAGAAGCGGGATCCTCCTCCTCCTCCTCCCATCGCGAGCGACCGCACCGCGTGCACGGACAGCGGCGTCGACGTCGCCCCCGGCGCGAGCAACGCCAAGCGCTCCGTCTCGACGAGAAACAGCGCCTCCTCCGCGTGCAGGAACGTCCGCGAGCCCGCGGCGTATCCAAACTTGACGAAGTGTTTCCCTCTCATTCTCACCAACTCCGCGACGCGCTCGCGCGGGCGCCACATCGCGACGGAGACGCCCCCCGGCGCGGCGCCGAGCTTGCACGCGTACGCCGCGCACAGCGTGCGGAGCTTGGCCGCGAGTCGCGGGTGCCGCGACAGCGAGCCGTTCTCCTCGGCGGGCGCGCGCGCGTTCGCGTTCGCGTCGGCGTCGGCGTCGGCGGGAGCGTCGGCGTCGGCGTCGACGGTCGCCGCGTCCGCGCCGTCGACGCCGGGCGTCTGCTCCGCGCGCGTCGCCTTCGGGCCGCCGCGTCGGAACACGTCCTTCGCGTCGAAGTCCCTCCCTCGCTTCTTCGTCGTCGCGCGTTGGGACGACGACGCCGACGCGGGCGGCGGCGGCGGCGCGGCGGCGGCGAGATCGGCGCTCGCGCCTCCGTCCTCGGTCGCCGTCGCCGCGGTCGCCGTCGCCCCCGCGTCGCCGCGGCTCGACATCGACGGCGCGCGCGCGCGCGCGTCGCCGTCCGCGGCGACGTCGCCGTCCGCTCCGTCGCCGCGCATTCGCGCCGTCCTCCTCGACGCCGTCGCCGCCGCACGGCGAGCGGCGCGCGCGATGAAATCGAGGTCTCATCAGCATCGGGTCCGTCGCGATCGACCGACCCGATCGACCGACCGACCCGATCGGATCTATCGGACGGCCCACGAGCGCTCTAACGGTCCAGTCGCGCCACTCGGTCATGCGCGGCGGAGGCAGCCTGACGCAGCGCGGCGGCGCGTCCGGGGTCGCGGCGGACGCGGGCGCCGCGGACGCGCACTTCGCGCCGGACGACGCGATCGTCGACTTCTCTTTCGCGAACGGCGATCGCGACCGCGCGATGAGCGGCGACCGCGCCGCGTCGCAGCAGCCCGCCGCGTCACCGGGCGGGGCGCATCTTCAACTTCTGCACGTCGGCGGCGCGACGACCGGCGCGACGACGACGACGACGACGAGCGACCGCGGCGGCGGCGCGCCCGGGCACTCGAGGAAAAACAGCGCGCACTCCGCGACCGGCAGCGCCACCGGATGGGGGTACGTCGGCCGCGGAAGCACCGCGGGCGACTCGCACACGAGCGGCGGAGGATGCAGCGGCGATAGCAGCGGCGACGACGCGACGTCCTCGCGCAGCCTCTCCGCGGTGCCGCATCGCCTCAAGCCCGAGGGAGGCGGCGGCGGCGCGCTGAAGCGCGTCAACTCGCGCGATCACATCCACGACGCGATGCACACGATCCCGGGGCTGCACAAGCGAGGCTTGGAGCTGCCGATGAGCCGCAGGCGCGCGTTTCGAAAGGTGCGTTCTATACAACACTGGTCCCCATACGGCCGCGTCGGCGTGGTGAACGCCGTTCCTTAAGGACTTTGCCCGTCGTCTCTCTCCGCCCAGGGTCCCTCGCTCACAATCCCGACACACCTCGACGCCTTTCAACTCCGCTTCTGACGCCTTTCAACTCCACCCCGACATCGCTTCGTATGGACCCTCGACCCTGAAAGTGTCGCGGGGTGGCGCGTTGCCGCGGGCCGTTCGGCCGGTGCCTCGGCGTGATCATCGCGATCGCGTTCGTGTGGATCGTCAGCGAGAGTTTCTTCGGCGCGCCGTCTCCCGCGCGCGTGGGGCGCGACAGCGGGCGGTGGATCAACAAGCGGACGTATCTGCATCGCCATCATCGCGGCGGCGGCGCGGCGGCGGAGACGCGCGCGCGAGCGGAGACGCCGTCGGCGGCGGCGGCGGGACGCGCGGGCGGCGTCGGCGTCGGCGTCGGCGACGCGACGTGGGAGCAGCGCGTGCACGGCGTCGACGGCGGCGGCGCGTCGACGTCGACGTCGACGTCGACTTCGGCGTCTCTGGGCGATGGCGGCGGCGGGGGGGGACGGATCGAGCGGCGGATCGGCGGGGAGGCGGAGGAGGAGGAGGCGACGGCGACGGCGGCGGCGGCGACGGCGGATTTCGACGGCGGCGGCGGCGGCGGCGGCGGCGGCGCGTCGACCGACGACGGGACGGAGACGACGTCTTCCGCGACGACGACGACGACGACGACGACCTCTGCGGAGCGCGCGCTGAGACGGCGCGCGGCGAGGACGGTTTAGACGGCGAGGAGCGATAGGCGAGACGCGTGTTGTAGAGAACGACGCTCGCCGCGATCGAACGACGCGACTCTTTCGAAGAAAAAACACCTCGAAACGACGCTTGACGACGCCGACAGCGCGGCTGGATGCGTCACGCTGCTTAGCGAGCACGACGCGAGAGGTTTCCGTTGTTCGCTCGAGAGCGAGAGGAAGAGACGCCACAGACGGCGACGCGAGCGAGCGAGCGTCACGCGCACGCCGGACTACCCCTCCGCGCGCGCGTCGGACCCGCGCGCGCGCGTCGACGAGGCGGTCGCGTCTCGAGGGCGCGCGCGCTCGGGGCGCGACCGGGGGGCGACCGAAGGTGCGCGAAAAATGCATCCATCCCGCGGCTCGTCATTTTTTTCTTTTTCTCGCCGCGGCCGCGCGACGCCTCCGGCCGGAACGCCGCGCTCGCGCGCGACTCGACGTCGTTCGAGGCGCGGGTTCGCGACGACGACGTCATTCGCGCCGCCGACGTCTCGACGCCGCCGCGAAGACGCCGTCGCGCGGCGTCCTCGCGCGTCGCCGCGGCGTCGATCCTCGCGCGTCTCGCGCGCCGTTCGACGACGACTTTTCAGACGATCTCCTCGCTCATCACGTCTCCACCCTCCCTCCTCCCTCCCCACCCCAGCGCGCGAAGCCCCGCCCCGCCGCGATGTCGTTCAAGCAGCAGGCGTCGTTCAAGAACCCGATGTTCGCCGGGCCGGACTCAGAGGACGACGACGACGCGGAGCGGTACGACTACGACGAGCGCGGCGGAAGAGGCGGGCAGAGCAGCGGCGACGATCGATTCGACGACGACGCGCCCCCGCCGCGGTTCGGGCTCGCGCCTCCCGCGGGCGGCTTCGTCGAGATGAACGCGCCCGCGCCGTCCGCGCCCGCGTTCCCGTCGAAGGGCGGCGGCGGAATGGGCGGCGGAATGGGCGGCGGCGCGGACGTCGCGGAGATGGAGGGCGGCGGCGAGGACCCCGCGGTGGCGCACGGCGTCGTCTCCGCGCTGTACGCAAAGTACAAGAAGAATTACGCGCGGCGGACGGATTACGTCTCTCTGTTTTCGTTCGTCGTCTTCGTCGGGTTTTACCTCGCCATCTTGTTCATGCAGCGACAGGCGGAGGAGGCGTACTCGCTCACGTCCACGCTGAAGAGTGAGATGATCCCGGAGAAGCTGGAGCTGCAGAGCGGTAACGAAGTGCGCCAGTGGATCAGCGCGTTCGTGAAGAAGTCGTGGACGGATCCCAGATGCGGCGACGGCAGATGCGAGATGCCGTTCGAGTACCCGGAGTACGGCCGGTTCGGGTGCAAGGCGGACTGCGACTTGCTCACGGTGAAGGCCAAGGTGACGCCGATACAGGTGGACGTGTACTACAACTTTTCGCACCCGAAGGGTTCGGTGTCGCCGATCGATCTCATGAACGACGCGTCGTGGAACCTGTGTCCGATGGAGGTGGACGACGTCCTCGGGGGGACGAATAAGATCTACCACGGCGCGGACTGCTACTACGAGAAGGACCAAAAGTTCGACACGCAGGTTGGGCACCAGAGCAGGGTGATCGAGGACGTCCCGGATGGGGAGTGGACCATCGTCGTCAAGAAGGACATCTTCAAAAAAGTCGGCGGCGCCGTGCGCGTCCGCGCCAACGTCGTCAAAGAGGCGGACAACAAGCGCCTCCTGCTCGCGTCGCACTACGCGCAACTGCGGCGTAAGACGGAGCTCGCGGCGTACGACGCGACGCTCACGACGTTGGGGAAGTCGAACCAGACGCTGGCGCTCGAGTACCTCGAGAAGTTGTACCTGGCGGAAAACACGACCATCTACGCGCGAAACGACGCCGGCCTCGCTGGGAACAAGACGGCGAACGAGGCGGCGTGGGCGCTGAATAAGACGCTGGTGAACGGCGCGTACGAGGCCGCGGGGTACTGCGTCGCGAACTCGGTGCGGCTGAGGACGGCGATGGCGACGGGCGGGACGTACGCGAATTGGTACGACCACTCAAAGTTCACGACGCAGTGCACAACCCCGAACGGCGCCTCCGGCTGCGTGTGGAACGAACGCGGGCACATAAAAGTCTTAGTCGGCGGCGCGTACGTCAACAAGAACCCCGCGTGCACGTGCAACGCGGGACCGCCGATCTCGTGCCAGTGTTACAGCGGTTTAACCCCCACCGGCGGCGCGGCGGCGGTGTCCTCCGCCGACGCCAAGGACATCGCGTGCGTGGAGACGTTTCGGTGGATCGATCAGCTGTGGGTCACGACGCTCGCGCAGCTGTGGACGGACACGAACAACGTCGTGACGACGACGAAGGCTACCGCGGACGCGGAGTTCGCGTCCGTCCTCCTCGCGCTGCAGACGCAGTCGCCGGTGACGCACTACGAGATCAATAAGATGGTGGGCACCAACGCGCAAGACTTGAAGACGGCGTCGCTCAACGTGCTCAAAGACGCGGACGTCCTCAAGGAACACAACGCCGACGCGACGCACGCGGCGGTGATCGCCGCGCGCTCGTCCTCGACGCCGTATTGGGAACAGCTCCGGGATATCATAACCCCTCGTCGTAACTCGTTACAGAACGTCCAGAAGTCGACGCCGATTTACCCGTCCCCGGTGACGTCGGCGTTTACGTTCACCGCCAACGCCGCGGCGGTGGGATACGTCCGGGCCAATTACCCCGGGTACGGCCTCACCGACGTCTTGACTCTGTCGCTGAAGGAGTGGAACCCCTCGGTGTTGCTGCGACAGGATTACGCGTTCACGCAGTGCGAGCTCCCGTCGCGTCTGCCGGAGGTTGTCGGCGCGTGTAAGACGCCCGCGAGCGTGACGACGCCGACGGTGGCGAATCCCGCGAACACCGCGCAGATGCAGCCGTTTCTGCAGCAGACGCGGTTCCAAAAGCTCTGCGACGCGGTGTGCGACTGCGCGGTCGCGACGAACGGCGCCGGGTGCGCGGCCGGGTCGCACTGCGTCTGCCCGGTGTGCTCGGTCACGAATCAGTTCGCCAACGTCATCTATCCGACGGGGTACACGGGTCGGAGGAAGCTCCTCGAACACGAGTACGTGGACGCGGGCGACGTCGGCGACGTCGCCGCCGCGCCGAAGTACGACTTCACGGCGCCGTACCGCCGGCGACTGCAGGCGGCGACACTGGACAGCATTCAGACCGCCATCTCCACGCTGACCACGAAGCAGACGTCCCTCGACACGGCCATCACGACGATTCAGACGACGCAAACCAACGCCAACGTGCAAGCCAACGCGCACCACGCGGACACCGCGCTCGACACGCTCATCACGCGAGGGTTCACGGACGTGAACAACGCGAACGCGGCGCTGCAGACGACGATGAACACGATCCTGTCGAAGCAGCAGCTCGCGTTGGATAAGGTTACGGAGTCGCTCGCGATTCAGCAGAGGACGGAGACGCTGGCGGCAAAGGGCGTCGCGCAGATTGAAAAGCTAGCGCTCGCGGTGGAGAAGCAGACGGCGTCCATCAGCGCCGCGTGGGCCGCGGGCGCGTTCACGAGCATCGACCAATACGTCCAGATTCAAGAGAACGCGGTGGTGACGAGAGAGGTGACGGCGAAGACGAACTCGCTGTCCAACTCGCCGTGCACGACGCAGGAGCAGTTTAACAACTTCGAGCTGGACAACCACGAAAACGTGTACGCCAAGGACGCGTTCCGCGAGCGGTACATCGGCTTGAATAACCGCGTCATCGCGGGGATGTTGATTTACACGAAGCGCAAGAACTTGGTCAAGTGCGACAGCAACCGGTTCGAGAAGATCGACGACGCGTGCTCGGAGGGCCGCGACGTTTCCTCCTACGGCGTCGACCCCGTCTTCAAGCTCGGCACGCCCATGTACAAGCCGACGTACGATAACAAGCCCACGGTGACCAAGGTGTACAACTGCTCGGAGCTGAACAACCCGAGCGAGGGGATCTCGCCGACGTATAACCCCCCCGGGAGCACGGACGGGAACAAGTACCCGTACTGCAAGGAGCTGTTCAACCCTCGCGACATCCCGTACGGATTCCGCGTCAAGAGCATTCCGGGATACGCGGATGGGTTTCCGTACATTTTCGACATCAACCTGAGCGCCAAGGAGGCGGAGACGTGGGTCGATTACATGGAGTACGGGCTCATGATCGACGACGTGAAAACCGACGTGGTCTCCGCGCAGGTGGTGGTGTACAACGCCGAGCTCGGGTATTTCGGCAACGTCGTCGTGTACTTTGAGTTCACCGACGGCGGCAAGATCGAGGTGACGTACGGCATCGACACGATCAAGGTGGAGCTCTACGAGACGATCCAGGACTGGATACGGCTGGCGATGGAGTGCCTCCTCGCGATCGGCGCCGCGCACTCCGTGTACGCGGAGATCATGGACTTCATGGACTCGAAGAAGACGCGCGGGTCGTATCTCGCGTACTTTCAGAGCGCGTGGAACTACGTGGACATCGTGTCCATCTTCGTCCACGTTTTGACGATTTTCATGTGGTTTTCGTACGCGTGGGCGATGGCGACGGCGTTCGCTCCGTCGATCCACTACAAAATCTACAAAAACCTCGCCGCGAGCGCGCACATCACCAACCTGAAGGTGCCGAACGAGATGGACGAGATGGCGTCCATGTTCTTGGAGATGAAGAGCCTCGTGACGTACTTCCAGATGTACATGACGCTGTCGGGAATCAACATAATCTTGATGCTCGGTAGGATCTTGAAGCTGATGGACTTCCAGCCGAGGCTCGGCGTCATCACGCGCACGCTCGCGCTCGCGACCGCGGACTTGGCGCACTTCTTCGTCATCTTCGCGTTGGTCTTCGTCGGGTACGCGTTCATCGGGCACGTCATCTTCGGCTACGCGTCGGAGCACTTCTCGGACATGACGTCGTCCATCAACTCGCTCTTCATGAACCTCCTCGGCGACATCACGTACTTCATGGAGGATTTGAAGAACCTCACCGGCATGATCTTCTGGGTCGGGATGATTTACTTCTACACGTACAACATCTTCGTGTTCATGATATTGTTCAACTTTCTCCTCGCCATCATCTGCGACGCGTTCGGCGAGGTGAAGGCGAACGCCAGCGAGGCGGTGTCGGTCACCGCGGAGATTGGACCGATGCTCCGCGACAAGTGGCGGTCCGTGTGGCGGCCGCTGTTTTACCGCGACCACATCCCGGAGGAGCGCGTGCGGCGGCAGCTGCGGATATGGAAGGGCGAGGACCCGGACGAGCCGGAGTACGAGGAGGACCGCCGGCCGAAGGAGCGCGTCTTCACCTACGCCAACGGCGAGAAGGAGCTGGACGCCGCCGGGTTGAAGCGCGTGCTGCGGCGATGCGTCATCGAGACGTATCAAAACTCGGACAAGACGTTCAACACGTATCTGCTGCGTCCGAACGGCGTGGGGAGCTCGAAAGCGCTCGCGACCGCGGCGGAGATCGATCAGGCGGCGGCGATGCTGATGCGACAGGTTGGGCACAGGCCCAAGAGGGGCCCGGACGGCGAGGGCGGCGTCGGGCACGAGAACGAGGTGCAGACGTTGCAGCGGAGCTTGGAGCGTCTGATCAAGTCGCAGCAGAAGCTCGTGGAGGGGCAGGTGAAGGTGATCGACGGGCAGTCGAAGATGGCGTCGCGGCAGGAGCGGCTGAGCGACTTGGAGCACAAGATTTTGGGCGTTCTGGAGAAGCCGCCAGGCTCGAAGTAGGGCCGGGCCGCCCGGGGCTGCGTTCGTCGTCGTCGCTGAACTTAACCTTATTTTTATTTCTATCGCGCAAATATTAGTTCAACCATTCGTCTCTCGGAACCGCCGCGGCCAGTCCGCCGCGCGCTCGTCCTCGTCGCGTCACACCCCCCGGTGCCCGTCCGCGACCATCTTCGCGTCCAGATCCTTCCGCGCGGCTTCCTCTTTATTTCTTTTACTCCCGCCGTCCTGCCCGCCGCGCGCTTGGAACTGCGCGACGACCGCCTTCTGTCGAAACTCCGCGAGGTGATGCATCAGCCTCGGAAACTGCACTTGGTAATCGGGCGGGTCGGAGTACTCGCCCGCCAGTCCCTGGAACTTGTAAATTTCCGCCTTTATCTCCGCGGCGGTCATGCGCATCATGATGGCGTTTTGGTTGAACTGCCCGACGTTGGCGAGCGTCCCCGCGAGCGTCTGCAAGAGCGACAGCGCGATGGCGGCGTAGGACATGTACATCGCGACGCTCTTGTCCTCCAGCGTCGTCTGCACGCCGACGACGACCGGGACGACGGCGCCGCATATCGCCGCCAGCGTCATCAAGAAGATGTGCTGCGTCATGCTCTTCTCCGCCTGTGATGAGGGTAATTTTCCATACGAACCGAACCGAACGACGGGGCGGAGTCGAAAGGCGTCAGAAGCGGAGTTTAAAGGCGTCGCGGCGCGCGCGTCGGGATGGATCGAGACCGAAATCGAGGGGCGCGCGGAGAGAGACGAACGAACGCCGCGCGGGCGAAGAGAGTCCTCGAGAGACGGCGCGCGTCGCGCGAGCGCGGTCGGTATCGCGGGGACAGGCGCGATCGGACGGATGGATCGACGACGAGACGAAGACGACGACGGAAGACGAAGACGCGCCTTGTACTGCAACCCCATGGCGACGCGGACGAGCGCGTAGAGCTGCTGCGCCTGCAGCTGCGTGATGTGCGAGCAAATCTGGAGCTCGTCCACGATGTCGTACATCGTGCCCTCGTACGACCGCTCGCCGAATCCGAACGCGCGCGCGAGCCTTTTGTACCATTTATTCGAAACGGGCGCGGTGAACTTGGGGTCGTTCCAACCACGTTCAAAGCGACGTCGGGGCGGAGTCGAAAGGCGTCAGACGGAGTCGAAAGCGGGGATTGACACCGTGGTGAGAGCGGAGAGATGCGACGGAAGAGAAAGTCCTTAAGGACTGAAGTTCACGACGCGGACGGGGTCGTATGGGGACCAGTGTATAGCTGGATGACTGACGCGCCTCGTACGCGTCGTCCCACGACACGCCGAAGCAGCACACGGACGCCTTCGCGGGGAGGTCGTGGCGGTTCGGCTCGCGCTTGATCTCGATCCTGTGCGCGCCGCCCTGCTCGTATCCTCTCTGCTTGTAGTTCGGCGCCGCGTTCTTCGGCTTCGTCGGCGTCGGCGACACCGCGGACATCGCGGCGAGCGAATCGATTGATTTTAACGAGAATTCGATCACGACGGAACCGAGCGCTCGCGGCGTTCGTCGCCGCCCGTCGGCGGCGCGGCGTTCGTTCGTCGCGCGCGCGCGCGCGAAAGGAACGATACGCGTCCGCGAGCGATGCTCGTGGGCGCCGCGCGCGCGGGTCTCCGACCTCGGGGTGAGATCGTTTCCGATTTGGTCGTCACGGAATGTGGCGCGGGCAGTCTGATGAGTCACTGATCCGAACCGGTTTTGCATTTCTTTCAGACTAAAAAACCTGTAAAAGACCGCGCCCGGACACGCGATAAACGTCAAGAGGGCCGCGATCAAATGACCGGCGTCGCGGTCGACGTTTCAAACCGAGCGCAGGGTGAAAAAAGATCAGCAGAAAGAGATCGGAATCCGTCGACGCGCGCTGATTGGCTCGAATCGCGCTCGATGCTGACGGTCGATTTCACGGTCTCGCCGGCGTCGCGCGCGCGCGCGTCGGTCACACCCGGCCCGCGCCGCGCGCTGCCACACTCCCCGCCCCGCGCACCCTCGAAGACGATGCGCGCGTGCGCCGCGACGCCGGCGGCGTCCGCCGCGGCGTCGCCGCGGCGTCGCGCGTCGTCGTCGTCTTCGTCGTCGTCGTCGTCGCCCTCGTCGCTCCGATCGCATCGAAAAACCTCCGTCGTGGGCCGACGATCGACGACGACGCGCGCGATCGATCGCGCGCGCCTCCGCGCGACGTCCACGGACGACACGACGGCGTCGTCGTCGTCGTCGTCGTCGTCGTCGAGCGGCGACGAGAAGAGCGACAACAGCGGCGGCGAGTGCCCGCTCGGCTTCGGCAAGAACGGCCGCATCACCAACGCGGTGAACGGCGTCAAGAACGCGGCGTACCTCGCCTTCATGAGCTCCTCGACGCCGCTGACGATGGAGGAGGCGCGCGCGTCCGCGGCGGCGGCGGACCCGAACGACATCACCATCTTAGAGAACAAGGTGTTCCTGAACTCGCTGAAGGAGGCGATCAGCGACCCGGTCGGGATGCCAGCCGCGATGCTCGACTGGCACAAGTACTACGACCGCGACACCGTCGGCATCGTGAACCCGCTCGGTCCTGGGTGCGTCTCCACGATCGACCCGCGGACGGTGGAGTACGTGTGCAAGACGAACGCGGCGAATTACCGCGACCGGCTCCTGCCGGACGTGTTTCGCGTCGTGTTGAAAGACCTGGGGGTGACGGGGAGTCAGGGCGAGTACAACCGGCAGCACCGCAAGGTGTGCCAGAAGCCGTTCATCAACGCCAACTTTCTCAAGACGTTCAGGCGCGTTCTATCTTGTCACACTGGTCCCCGTACGACCGCGTCGGCGTGGTGAACGCCGATCCGTAAGGAGATTCTCTCCCGGCGCATCTCTCCACCCATCACCCCTCGGTTTCAATCCCGACAACACACCTCGACGCCTTTCAACTCCACCCCTGACGCCTTTCAACTCAACCCCGACGTTCGTCGCTTCGTGCGGACCCTCGACCCTCAGCTCGGTGGTGGAGAGCGGCGTGGGGCACCTGTGCGACTCGTGGGACATGGCCGCGGCGATGCCCGGGAACGAGAAGGGGTTCACGCAGGACGTGGACCTGCACTCGCAGCACTTGCTCCTGGACATCATATCGCCCATCTCGTTCGATTACTCGTTCGACCTGCTCGGGAAGTCGCGCAACGTCATCACCGGCGTAGGTGCGTCCTATCTCACACTGGTTCCCATACGACCGCGTTCGCGTGGTGAACGCCGTTCCTTAAGGACTTTTGCCGTCGTCTCTCTCCGCCCAGGGTCCCTCGCTTTCAATCCCCGTCCTCGACGCCTTTCAACGCCGCTTCTGACGCCTTTCAACTCCACCCCGGCGTAGGCACGTTCAAACCGAACAAGATGCTCGAGGCGTACCACAGGAGCGCGGAGATCATGGGCGAGGTGATCCTCGTCCCGCTCCCGCTGCTGAAGCTCGGCGAGCGGTTCGGGATCGGACGACTGCGGGAGCTCATCGAGGCGTACGACTCGCTCGAGGTCATGGGCGAGGAGATAATCAAGCGCCGCCGCGACGCGCACAAATCCGCCGAGGCGGAGGGCAAAGTCTTCGAACAAAACTGT